TCTGCAGTTGATCTCTGGGGTCCTGAGCCTCCCGGTCCCAGTTGCCTCCCTGTGGGGGAACAGGAAGAGATGGCTTCCGTTTGTCTTCTGGGGACAGTGTCGGGAGCAGAACTCAGGCCACTTGAGACTGAGCCTGCAGCCCGAGTAGCTGAGCAGGAACAGATTTCCTTTAATTAAACTTGGGAGGAAGCAAAAAGCTTAGTCAAAAGCCTGCCTCCTAAAAAAACAAAACCCAGTCACCTCGGCCCATTTTTAGCGTGCTGAGGAGTGCTCACACACAGGAGTGGAGCACATACTTTGGAGGACGTGGACCCAGGGATGGGCAGAATGATGGCTGAATGCCTTCCTGCATAGATTTCTAGCTGGATGCCCCTGGACAGGATCCGTGATATCTTTGAACTTCAGAGGTTCTGTGTATAATACCAAATGGTACTACCTAGAGTCATGACCAGCAAAGGGGATAAGGGTGGAGCCACTCCTGCCCTCCTGACATTGAGGGTCCCTCAAATGATAGCTTGGCTATTGTTTTGGGTTTAAAATTCTTTTTTTACTGAAGAAAAGACGACTGGGTTGGCCTTGAACTTGGTCATCAAACAGCTCTGCCTTAGCACTCTGCCGTCCGAGGCCTCTCTAACAGTGCTTCCCTGGGCGACCCTCTAGCCTTTGTCCTGTGCTCCGGTTGGCTTTCTGTTGCTGTGACAACCACGACCAAAAGCATCTTGGGGAGGAAAGGGTTTGTTTGGCTCTCAGGTTACAGTCTGCCATCAGGGGAAGCCAGGGCAGGAATTCAAGGCCGAGATCTGAAGTCAAAAATTGAAGCAGAGACCATGGAGGAACCCTGCCGACCGTCTTGCCCCCATGGCTTGCTTGGTTTGCTTTCTTACTATCCAGGGCCATCTTCCTGAGGTGGCACTTCCAAGGTGGTCTGGGACCTTCTGTGTCCATCATTAATCAAGAAAATTCCCTACAGGATTGCCTACAGGCCTGTTTGATGGGGTGTTTTGTCAGTTGAGTTTCCTTTCTTAGACTCACACACACACACACACACACACAAATAAAAAACCCAAACAACAACAAAACCCAAAACCTAACTAGAACATACATGTCCATATATTTTTACTGGATTTTGTATTGCTTGTCTGTCTTTCTTTCCTACATTAGCCCCATGGAGACAGCATAGGTTCAATGTTGCTTTTAATTCCTACACTGATATTCTAACTTCTAGAATGAGACTTGACACAGAGATAAGATCTTTTCTTTGTCTTCCTTTAAAAATATTTGGTGTATATATGGTATGTATGTATGTATGTATGTATGTTAGCATGTGCATGAATGTGTGCCTCTATGTGGAGGCCTGAGGTTGAAGCCAGGAACCATCCCCAGCCACTCGCCCACCTTACTAAGTTTCTCTCAGTCAAACCCAGTCTGATGGCTCTTGTTAATCTTGCTAGCCAGATGGCTCTGGGAACCCTCTGTCCCCGTGCTTGGAGGCTGGAGGGCCACCATGTCCACTCAGCACTTAAGTGGGTTCTGGGTATTGAAACCATGGTTCTCCTGTTTGTGGAGCAAGCACCTTAATGAGAGAGCCATCTCCTCAGCCCCGAGACCGGGTCTTTAAAGTGATAATGTAGGGCTGGCAAGGGAACTCAGTGGGTAAAGGTGCTTGCTGTGCTAGCCGGACAGTCTAAACTTCATTCCTGGAACCTGTGCAATGACATGTGCCTGTTCCCTTATCATGCGTGCACACAAGCGTGTGCGTGCACTCACAATAACAACAATAACCATAAAGTTAGAAAAGAGGCAATTTAGCTAAAGCGGGGTCATCTGGGTGGGCCTTGACTCAGTGTCTTTATAAAGAGGAGGTAGTGGAGATAGGAACTTCTGGGGAGATTACTGTGTGAAGAATGGAGCTGTGATCTTGGGGTGGGAGGGCTCCAGAGCTGTGGGATGGTAGCTGCCTGGGTTAAACACCACCGTGTGGTGCTTTTCTGTGACAGCCTAGCGTGGCAACACAGGCAGGGATTTCATTTTGCCTTTGGCTGTATCTCAAAGTTTACCTGTGGTTTAAAAGGCAATGTGGTTTGTAGATGAAGGGAATGACTCTCAGTATCACATGTAAGAAGTGACAAAAAAAGTGAGACCTCCCAGTCTATGTGAGTGAGAGATCTTGTATGTCAGTCAGACTGAGTTTGGATTTTCCCTCCAGAGGCAGTGGGAGCCATGGTGTGTGTTTGAGGTTCCCCTGGTGGCAGTTTGGAGGCAGGATACAAAATCGTCATCTGCAGGCAGGGAGAATAGGTAGCACAGGCATGCAGGGGTGTGAGCAGAGTGAGGCGGCAGTGTGGATGGGATCTGTCAGGGAAGACTGAAGGGTGGCACACATAGGAGAGTCAGGGGCTCTATTCTTAAAATCCCATCGGTCCTTCCTTTTTCTCCCCTTACATTGCTGATGTTTCGTGTGTCTAAGTCATTATACTTGGTGGGCAAAGATCATGGGACTTAGGTCATTTCATATCCCTTCTTGAGTGAGTGGCAAAGAGGCTGTCCCCAAACTGATCACTGTCTGCAGACGGAGCTCAAACAGTTGCTATGGGAGCTACAGAAACTCTGCCTTGAGGACAGACAGTCCAATGGAGGAGACAGAGAGCTCTATTTGAGACACTCCCTGTCTGATGGAAGACATAAAAGCCCTGCCCTTGGAAGGCCTCCAATCTAATGGGAGCAGGCTGGCACAGAGCACTGGACAGGTACACCTGTCCTCAATGGTTTTCCTGAATATATATCTATGTCTATATAGATATAGATAGATATAGATATAGATATAGATAGATAGCTGGGAGCTCCCAGTCCAGTGGAGGAGACAGATTCTCCCCATCCAAGGTCCAGTAAAATATGAAGTTGCTATTGAGAGGAGATCTGGGAAGCTCGTCTGAAAGAAAGCATGCTGCATGAGTTTGTGGAGAGTGATGCAAAGGTGGAGGAGAGGGGGAGGGGTGGGCCAAGCAGGCAAGGACCACATAGCTACTCCGTCTCTTCCAGGGGCTTCTGGGTTGCTATGAAGTGCTTTGCTTTTTTTTTTTTCAGAGGAAAAAGACCTTTGGCAGGAACAGTTTAGATTACTGGCCTCCAGCCCTGTGCTCGCTCCTCAGTTCCCACATCCAGGCTGGTACACCGGCCCTGGACTGGGAAAGCAGTGAACGCCCACAGCGCCCTCTGCTGGATGTCAGGGTAGCACTGCCGACTTGAATGTCGCAGGGGCCCAGGAAACAGCCCCTGCTTTCCAACTGTGGAGACCCTGGTTCTGCAGCCACTGGTGCTGGGTTCATAAGGAATGGGTCAGGACCTGGGAAGATGCAAATCTGCTCTCTGGAAGGTCTGAGGCCTTTCTGGGACCAGTTTGTCTTAGGATGGCTCAGAAAGCCAAGGCAAGCAAACTCGCTGCTGTCCCCTGAGCTGGGTTTAAGTGGGGTCTGGCCAACATCCTAGGTATCTGGGATAGGAAAGGACCCCTTCCCATCACATGTCACTAAGATGACTCAGGGTTCATTGTGCAATAGAGGATGTGTGGCCCTTTCTTCTTCCAAGGCCCTAGATCTGGGTCAGCTGGGCTTTGGGTGCGGGTGGGCTGGGTGCTCCCAGGAGAGGGTCACAGTGGGGAGTGTAGATGGGTTTCCAGCAGAATAATGGAGGCTGACAGAGTGAGCTGGAGTTCACTTGGCAGACCAGGGTGAGGGTGAGCTGGGAGTCCCAGCAGCTCAGACTGTGGAGGGACAGGGCAGCAGTGCCCTGAAGGGAACAGGCTGTCCGCAGGAGAGGGAAGACAGCAGACCCGGAATCCAGGGTGTGGTCACTTCCTGGAGATAGCGAGGGAGTCTCTATTATCCGTCTGGAACTCCTTTCCAGTGTGAGGGCTGGGAGGTTCTTGCTGCCATTCTGGTCTTTACAGGAGGGTCCCAAAGGCAGAGGTGGTGTCACAGAGGCTTCAAGTGGGACAGTGACAGGGTTTGTGGGTCGCACTGAAAGTTGGCTCTCTGCTGGCTAGCGGGGTGTTGGTGACTGCTTTAGTTCAGCCTGCTGGCATCCCACACCATCTGCAGCGACTGTAGTGCCTTATAGCGATGTTTTGGGGGCTGATGGGAATTCCTATTTTAGGTAACCGTTTCCCCTGTAATCTGCAAAGGGCTCGTATCAATCACATTTCCTGTTGCCATGACCAAAATACCTGACAGGAAGTGATGTAAGTGGGGGGAGGGGGAGTTCTTTTTGGCTTACAGTTCAAGGGCATACGGTTGATGGTGGCAGGCTTGAGGTTTTCATCATGCTGGCTCCCAGAATTCCTGGTTAGGATGAGGGTCCATGGCCTTAGTTATGTGAGCAACAACATTCTCTTTATCAGTGGTCCTCCACATTTCTCTGTTTCCTTTGGGTTGGATGTGAATGGAATCTTGAAACCATAGGAGAAGTGATGGCCCTAGGTGGCCCTTGAGCTACCTGGTGGGTTAACCCTCCCTCAGGAGAGGGGTTGGGAGGCCTGGGAGCTCTTCCCATAGTCTTTCCTTCCCCCGAGGATATAGAAAAGGTAAACAATGCCCCGGGGAGCACTTAGAAGTTGAGTTTTTCATGAGCTTTCCAGGTACAAGTGACAAGTCAGTGGCATAGCTTCCCCATGAACCACACAGGGGACTTCCCCTTTGTCATACATGCCCCTGCAAGTAAATCCCAACAAACTCATAGACATTTCTGGGATCCCCAATTAAACCATGTATGTGCACACAATTCATCGGTATCTCCAGCTCTGCTTCTGGGGAACCAACTTCTGTTTGACCACGACTGTCCAGTTTTAAAATATCCTGGTGACCTTTTAGTCCCAGGCAAACCTAGACCATTCGTTGGCCACCCTGAGACACCCTCGCCAAGACAGATGCAGCTCACTAGGGAAGACAAATGCATCCCTGTCCTGTTAGTTTGTGCTCTGAGAACAAAAACAGGAGACACAAGTATAATCTTGTCACACTGACAGTTTTTATGAGCCAAGAGCCTGTAGGAGGACAGGAGCCACCATGGCAAAGCAGCTATTCCTTTGAAAATAGATACATACACATAATCTCAGGGTAGGCATGGCTAAATGTTGGTGGAATTAGACAGCTGGTATCTAGGACCTTTGCAAGCATCAATGTGACTGGCTACATCAGGCAAGACGGTAATGCATTTTCCAAGAAGCAAGAAGAGTCCCAGGCACTGTGGGGTCCTTGGGGGTGAGCGGAGAAAAATACAGGGCAGCACGTGATAGGCACTTGAGGCTCTGAGAGGGACAAGCACCGGCCATGCCACTTGCGTCAAAGCCACCTGAGCAAATAGTTGAAATTATACCACGTTACCACATGAACGCACAGAGACAGGCGCTTTGCCTTAGAAAGAGGCTGTAAGCCCAGGACAACTGGACCAAGACCCTGGGAGAAGTCACCTGGGGAGTAGGCAGTGCTGGTGTGAGGTGAGGCTAGTGTCACCAGGCCAGGGCAGAGGTGGACATGGGTCAGGGCACACCGCAGTACGGAACTGTAGTACTGGCTGGGCAAGGTGACCAAGTCCCCCGCCTGGGGACAGATCTCTGCTGTGAGTCAGATTACTCAGCTTCACAATGTCACACATGCCCCTGTTAGTTTTGGTTGCACTGCAGAGAGAGCCACGTAGCAATGGAGGGGTGTGCCTCTTGATTGCCTCTGCTGTCCTTAGTTCTGCTATGGGATTTCTCCCAGGTGCTGAGGCAATGGACACGTGCCCCATGCCTTCCCTGTCCCGCCTCAGGTCACTAAGGATGGAGAACGCACTTCTGCCTGGGCTTACTCTGAGATGTTACAGTGTGTCAGCAGAGGCCAGGATTTAGAAGCCCGAATGACAAGTACTGAGGTGTCAGACTGATTCCAGCCAGGCAGGGGGATGGGGTAGCCAGTCTCTGGGGACGGGACCACTGTGCTTAGGTGAAGCAGTCCCTTTTTTATACTCTGTCCTTTAAGAGTCCCTGCCAAGGGAGAGGGCAGGGGCAGTGACCAGTAGAGGAATTCTGGCCCTCAAAATTGTGGGAGTGCAGGCAGGATTCAGAGGAAACTTCTAGAAACTTTTATTGATGGGTGAACCAGCAAGCAGGAGAACGGCAGGGGCAGGGGTGGGCTTGCTTTTTCACTCATCCAAAAAGGAGATGAAAACCGCCAACAGTTGGTATTGGGAGTGGCTGTGCCATTCATCAGCCACAACCATGCCAGCACAAGTCACCTCGGACACGCATTTTGTCTTTAGGCAGAGGACTGATTGGAAACCGAGACCACATATTTACAAGTGCAGCACGGGCCTCCCCAGGCTCCAGAGTTGGGCTCCTCAAATGAGGATCCTTAGAGACACGATCTGCCTATGACAGGAGGTAATCCCAAGGGGCATCCTGTTGCAGGTACTCCCCTGCTCCGCCAGGAAACAAAATCCACGGGGGTGCTCCTCTCTGGCTGTTACCACGGCCAGCTGTCTCACACCGTCAAGAACGTCCGAGTGCTCAGAGATCTACAGATTAGTATCAGTAGCGCCCAGACAGTGCTCAACTGAGGCTATGCTCATACACGGCAAGACCATGGAGAACAGTCAGTCAAGACAAACCCAGCCCTGAACCAAGGAGTGACAGAGGAGTCATGGGAAGCCTTCCAATACTCCTTGCCAAACTCCAAAGGGACAGGGATGGCATCTGGGGGACCCACAGGAGCACTTCACATTGCCATGCATAAAGCAAGCACTCCATCAAGGTTGTCTGGATGTTAGTGCCAACTAAGGGAAATGCCCAAAGACCAGCGTTTTTTCAATTGGGTACCTTTGAAAGAGCTGCATGCTGGGTGACCTCCTTGGAAAGTGGTGGTGCCATTAACTGATTAGCTTTCTTGCCTGTGTAAGGCTGTTTTCCGGGGTTTGCCTCAGTGTGTTTTGACACACAGACGTTTCTCATAGGTGAGCAGAGAGCTTGGAAGTGTGCATCTAATGGAATCTTATCATTCTACAAAAAAAAATAAATCAGAGCCTTGGAGGAAGACAGCAATTCTCCATAAGTCACACGGTGCAGTGGTGGCTGGGTTGGGTTCAACCCATGGGTTCCGCAATTCTTGGTCATTTTTTTTTTTACCACTAAAGGCAGTATAGAGGCTGGCTGGACAGTCTCAGTGGGCTTTTCTCCACACAGTGAGGGCATCAGCGTCCCTTCCACATGACCTTGAAAGTAAAGCCAGTTCAACAAACTGAATGAGATGGCTTTGCATTTTCCCGGACCGTAGGAACTGTGTACCCCTCGGTCTTTGTGGCACCTTAGTTTCTATGCATGTGCTCACTACCTAGGGCTCTTCCCCTTGAGGTCCAACTCTTTGGCCATTTGCTTGATGAGCCAGGCAGTGGGTTACTGAGGCTGCAAGTCATCTGAATGCCACTGGGGTAGTTTTTACAAATGCCTCTTGTTCAGACACTCCCTCCCCCCGTCCTTGGGTTATTGATAGCAAGGGATCTGTTCCTTGATACTATGGAGCTGGGGGTGGGGGGGTGAATCCAGGGCTACAGAGGTCAGCAGTGACTGACGCACCAAACACACCACTGAGCTCTGGCTGCTGGTGCATGGGCATATCTCTCTAGGCATCTTACAGTGCTAATCCCATGCTGGGTGAGAGTTGGACTGCTCCAAGCTATGGCCATTGTCCTCCCCAGGTCCTGAGGTTCCAGGATCAAGCTAATGGGCAGGGACTGGCTAGGCAGTGCAATTTGCTCATTGCTAGAGGACGAGAGAGACCTGGGGTGCACACACGTGTTCAAAGTTACACAGAAGTCGAGCAAGCCCACGTTTACCAGGAGGGAATTTGGGAATGTTAGCAGGAAGAATTCTAGAATACGGAGAGAAGGGAAGTCTCTCATTGACGGAGTGGGCATCGGGACTGAGATGTGCGTCTACGTGTTCTGACTCACAGCCTAACTGGTTTTTCCTCTCATGATGACCAGATAGGGGGCACTGCCCTGGCCATCCTGGAGGGTGGAGGGCTGCTGGCTGTGTAGTGACAGTAGTGGGGGTTATGATGAAACGAGAAAGTTGACATGCCTTTCCTCATAATTTGGGCCCTCAGGCAAGGCAATCTAAAACTCTGTCCCTCTTGGTGACACTGATAGTAAGCCATTGCCTAGGATTTCATTCTGCCCCATTTGAGGGTAGGCTGTTTTCTCCCCAGAGGGAGAAAATGCATTCGGTGAGGTAGGGACTTGCCTCTTCAAAAGGGTAGTTCAGACAGGGAGGGACCCTCTGGGAAGTTTCAGCAGTGTAGCTGGAGGCAGGGCAGGGCATGAGGGCAGGGAGCAGAGTACCCCAATCCCGTTGGGCCTGTCTCTTGTCCCTTCACTCAGCTGGTGTTCTGTGGAAGCATCCCTACCTTTAGCTCCCACCATGGACTGAGTCCCTTAGAGTCTTCACGGAGCTGTCACCCAGGTCACAGCCCATAACCCGTGAGTTGGTTTAATCAAGACTTGTCTCACTGAAAAAGCAAATGTAAGACTTCATATCTGGGTCGTAGGGACCATTTTTGGAGACAAATATGAGATGTTAAGATCTTAGAAAGAGAGGACTTACGGGGTTCACAGATTCTGTCTAGCGTCCTGGGCTAGCTTTCTTGGTGAGATCCAGACACACTTCTGGGGAAGCGTGAAGGGGGAGGGAAGATGCCTAGACAGTCTGATTCCAGTCCACAGGTATCACCTGGTGTTCCTGGACTGGGGGAGACCCCACAGAGACCCTTCTGTTCCCTTCCATCCCCAGACACACTGCAGTCAGACCTGTTGCTCTGCAGTCAAGTTGTCTCTGTGCCTGATAATATGATGTGGTCACATAAGAGACTCCACTATCTCAGAATACAATGCACACAGAGGCACTCTAGCCCATCCTTACCAATGGATGGAGTCATATTATCCAACAATGGAAGGCATGTAAATTATTTAAGTCTGGTTTCTTCTCTGACCCCTATGTGCTTGCCTATTCTAGACTAGTTCCGTAGACTGCAGCTACAATCTATTTTGGCTGGAAGGGAGCCTATCTCTCCTGGTCATGCCCACATCGTCTTAGATAGGAAGCCACACTTAGTACCAATCATGCAGTATGCAACTATTAGAAAGAATCTTTTGCAAAGTCTTGGGAGGGATGGTTCTTTGGTTGGCTTCCTAGTGGGATTTGGAACCCCTGGACTGTTACCATGGAGACACAATCCTATCCCACAATGCAATAAACAGAGGAGGTCTCTTGGTGCCTGGAGCAAGCTCATGGTTGTGGCTGCTTATATTTGATGGGTTTTCTTATTTACCTTTTTATTGGAGGAGGCTTTGTTCTCCCTAGTGCATGCCAACATGGTATTTCTCTGGGGGAAAACTCAACTCTTCTCTCTCTCCTCTCTCTCCCTCTGTCTCTCTCTCTGTCTCTCTGTCTCTCTGTCTCTGTCTCTCTCTCTCTCTTTCTCTCTCTGTGTGTGTGTGTGTGTCTGTGTGTGTGTGTGTGTGTGTGTGTGTGTTTCTCTTGCCATGCCCCAGCAGCAGCAAGTTCTGGAGCTGCCTGAAGGTCTGAATGAAAAGGAATATCGGGCCCATTTAAAAATCTAGTAAATGGCCTTATCTCACGCTCTTGTTTTGTGGAAGGGGAACTAAGGCCCTGATGGGGCAGTAACTGATCTAAAGTTAGTAGGTAGTAGCAAGGTTGGGATTGAATTCAGGCCTGCCCACTGCCAGTCTTTCTAGCAACACTATATTGGCTATAGCTTTCAGAAAGTCCCCTACCAACCCAAATGGCCCATCCCTCTCCCCATACCCTACACATAATTGGGGTTGTAACAGAGCATATTGAACTCCAGGTTCTCATCCCAGTGTCGCAGGAGCACGAACAGCTGGCGAGCTGTGGCCTTGAGTGTGCTGGGCGTGCGGCCCTCGGGCACTTCCTGCTGCTCCAGCCACGAGCTGGCCTTAGCGGCTATCAGCTCCCACTCAATGAAGTAGGAAGCTGAGCTGTGTTCCAGCCATGCCAGGGCCACCACGGTGGCCCACAGCTTTCCTGTGTGCTCCAACAGTGCACTTGGCTCCAGGCCTGAGCTGTCTTCAGCTTCAGACTCCAGGGGGTTGTCATCATAGGCTGGGGGTGGAGGTGACGGACGGATGCAGGGCTGAGGACTCTTCTCATTGTGCCGGCGGGTGGCCAGGGACATTCGCAGGCAGATGAAGGGTGAGGTCCACTTGAGTTTCTCCATGGGGATTTGAATGGCCTCACAGAAGGCTTGGTTGAGCAAAAAGGCTCCCGAGGCCAGCTGCAGAGACACCTGTGGGCAGAGAAATATCACAGTGGGCCTCAAACCTCTCAAGCCATAGAGTCCCAGGTCACATGAAATCCAGATCCATGGAGTCTGCTCTTTCATCTCTTCCTGCCCTCCCTGCCTGTTTTGGGGACTCCCCAAGTCAACTGGGCATGGCCTCTTTTTATCCTTTAGCATCACGGGCTAATCACTCTCCAGGCCACAAACTCACTTGCTATCCTAGCTCCGAACCTGTCTCTTACCATATGCAAGCTCTGCTTGACCACTGTGATTGTGCAGGCCTGTCCAGTAGACTCTTGTCTGCTCACCCCTGTCCCTGCAGGCGTACTGGTCCCTCTGGAAGTCCTAACAGGCTTGGCAGCCCACTGCCTGCCTCCTCATACATCCGCTGTCCCCTCACACTTCCTTCCTCCACAGCTACTCATCTGTCTTGCACTCAGAGGGACCTCCCTCCACAAAGCCTAGCTCATGCATGCATTTTCCGAAGGATCAGATCGATTTCCCATTTACTCAGTTTTCTATTAGACTATGCCCAGCGTGTGATTTATGAAACCTTGCTCCACCTGGTCCCCCCTTTCTTTCTGCACTCTCACCCCTCAACTCCATTCTCCAGATGCTAATCTGTCTCCCCTCTAGGCCTTTGGACATGCCTCCTTAAGATTTAGGTCTTGGCTCAACCACTGCCTTCTTTGGGAAGCCACACTCCATTCTGTCAGTACCCCTCACCTCAGGCCTCAGGATCATAGCTGTATTTCCCACCAAAGAAAACTTCCCACTGCTCCCAAGGGTTAGGATTGCCTGGTTCCTGGTCCGCCTTCCATGATATTTCATCCCAGGAGCTACATTTATCTAACTCAAGGTCATCTCCTGGGGTCTGCACTGAGCCTGACTCAGTTAACACTGGCAGAGTGACTATGTGTGTAAGTGCTCAGCTACCTTGAACATGTGGGGATTCCAAATGACACCATGCACACAGTTGGGTGTGGAGGGATGGAGACGTGAGGTGATATACCCAAACGATGTGTTTCCTTCATACACCGCATGAACCCCAAACTCAGGGACACTCACAAGGCACCCACTTGCCTTGTTCCTTGGCACATTGGGCCACCTACAGAGCCACTTTTAGAGCCTGGGAATGTCCTTGGGATGTGACAGTCACTTTCAAGTCATTTCAAGGGTTATTTTTATGTACTGAGAACAGACATGTGGCTGATGATGTAGGACAGTGCCAAAGTCCTGTGGCTTTTTAAGACCAGGGCAGCAGAGTGCAGAAAAGCTTTCCAACACCGGCACTGGCTAATACACACACCCCAAGTGGGAACTCTTTAGCACTCCCTGTGTCTTGGTGGCTTCTTGGGTGGGGAGTTCTAGGAAGCTCAGGATTTCTTTGGATAGGAGCACTGAGACAAGAGCTCCCTCCCTTTGAAGAGGGGAAGGCACGGACAGGGGCTGAGCTGGGTTGGAGGGGTCTGAGGTCTGGAGCTCACCAGTGGCATATAGTCCAAAGTTTGGCTGCCCGGAGTTGGCTCTGGAGTCTTGGCCAATGATTTGCTGAGAAAGCCTTTGGCAGCTCGGGTTAGCAGCCTGGGCTTGTTGAGATTCAACCTGTGTAGATAGAAACAGGTTCTCTGGTCATCCCAGCCTTCCAGTGGAAACAGGTTCTCTGGTCATCCTAGCCTTCCAGTGCCTGCCCAGCAGCCGCTGAAAGGCAGAGTCAGAAGAACCCAACAGATGACATCCTTCAATATTTTCAATTGACAGCCAGGGAAATGGAGGCCTGGAGAAAGGGGATGTGTCTTTTTGATGCTTGGCTCATCTGTTAGCAGCAACGGGGCAATAGACAGGTCAGTGTTTTTCTATGGTTGTCTATGGATACCGTGTCCATCCAAGTTCAGGGTTGGGAAGAGTCCTAAGATGGTTGTGACAGTTAATACTATCAGCCTGACAGGATCTAGAATCAATGAAGAGACAACTCTCTGGGCTAACTGAGGAAGGATGACCTACCTCATGGGCAGCACCATCCCATGGACCGGGATCCTGGACTGAATGAAAAGGAGAAAGTGGGCCCCAGTATTCATATCTCCCTGCATCTTTACCACGGATGAGATGTGACCAGCCGCCTCACACTCCTGCCTTCCCCACCGTGATGGACTGCACTCTCAAACCAAACCAGCCCAAGAGAAACCTCTGTAAGCAGCCTTGCTTAGGTGACTGTCTTCCACAGCAAAGAAAAAAGTAACGATTTCTTGTCCCGCCTTGCCATGGATGTTTGTGTTCACAGAGACCTCGGAAATGATGGGGGCTATTTAGGCAGCTTGAGACAGTACACAGTGGCAGCTCTACACAGCAGGGATTTTTAGCACCCTTAAGGTGAGAGAGTCTGGCTCCACCTTTGACAGGGAAAGGAAAGAAAGCACTATGTTCTTAGAAGAAGTTCCACTTACTTGGATCCAAAGAGAGTCTCAGAGGTCTTCATAGAGGACAGGGCACTGGTGGACAGGTTATGAGGGAGACCTGGAGAGTCACAGAATGACAGACTGAGACTTGATTGGGAACCTGTCCACTAAGTCACCTCCTAGCTGGGGAAACAGGTTCTGAGTGAGGCAGGAGCTTGTCTATGTAAAGATGGTGCCAGGATGTGAATTGATTGCTAAGTGTCTGAACCCCAGGTGCCGTGGGCAAGGGTGGCATAGTAAGGGGCAGGTGAGCCTATAGGGTTCCTGCAGGCAGGCCCTGGCATCGTCTAGGAGGTGACTAAGGGGACTGTAACAGTTTCACACCAACCGCACCGTTTCTGGATTAGACACTGACAACCCTGCCAGAGGATGCCAGGCTGGGTGTGGTGGGACAGTGGCCCCTCAGCTAGAACTAGGGGGGCCCAACTCTAGGCCCAGCTCTATAATGAACTTGCTAAGTGACATTGGGCAAATTGCTTCCCCTTTCAATCCCAGACTTCTTCATTTTTAAACTGGGGATAGTCCTTTCCATCTCTGGCTGGCTGTTCTGAGACAACGGTGAGCTTCTGGGTACTCCGTTGGTGCGGAGACACCCCCCAGCCCCTGGTGCTTCTCACACCCACCAACACAGTAAGAGGGTCAGCCCAGCTGCCCGCTTACCTTCTGCAGCCGCGTGCTTCTCATGGGCAGGAGACAGGATTTTATTGAAGGTCGAAGCAGGGCTTTCTCCTAGGGCTGCAACAGAGAATGCCAGTGGAGCCTGAGTTCCCTTCCCCTTCCCTTCTTCCTACCGTGCTGGGCTCCAAGACCTAACACCTCCACTCACTAAGCAGTGGGCTCTTGGTGATGTGACTTTATCAGTTAACATTATAAATTGGGGCCTTGTAGTGTCATTGGAAGGAGTCAGTGAGACCCCACTCAGGTAATGCTTAGCGCTTCACCAAGTGCGCAGCCGTGTATGTCCTCAGGGACCTCTTAGTGTGGCCATTAGCAGCCTTTGGTAGGGAATGGTATGGGGGTAGAGTAAGAGTTGAGGGGCTGGGGCTGGGGCTGGGGGTCTTGAACAAAGCTTCAATGGAAGCCTCTGCCTGCTGAAGGCTGAGATGCAGAGAAGGAATGGTTAGACCAGAAAGTTCCAGAAACTCCATGGCTGCTCCCAGCAGGTCCCCTAGGACTTGGGGCACAAAAGACCAAAACATTGCCTTTAATTCTATGAAGAGTGACTCTGGGCATCCAGTGCTCTAGTCTTTCTTTCACTATCTCTTCTCTCTGAGGAAACATTCTCACAGTGTGAATAGTTAGCTAGGGTCAGGGTGTGGTTTCTGGTGTCCACCCCATGCTGAGAGAGTGCAGGATGTCCCCACTGTGTATGGAGGGTTGCAAGGGAAGGGGTCAGGATGAGTACGGGCTATCTGTGGAGAGCCAGAAAGACCGACATGGATGAAAGATGCAGTGCGGCCAGCCTGGCAATAGGCTCAGGGTCACACAAAGGTCATGTATGCCGCAGTTCTCTGAGCTCCAGGCAATCAGGTGACAGCTGAAAGGGAGGTGCTAGGAATCCAGAAAACAACAGATGGTGGAACCCGGACACATCAAATGTCCTCTTTGGTCATCACTTGCTCCTGCTCGTTAGGTTTCCCGGTGTCTGGGGGAACCGGGAGGCTGGAGGGCCAGCAGCCGAGGGTACGAGGGACGCTGCACAGGAAGCCTTGGAGAAAGGCTGCATCCTGCCTCTGTACAAAGCTGTGTACTGCAGCTATACCAAACCCTGCGCCTATAGTAGTCCTCCAGAACCCGAGAGGCCTGGCCTTGCTTAGGGGTCGGAGATGGCAGACTCAGAGAGGGGCCCCTGAGGCCTTGGATGTAGGGGCGCCTGGGCTTCTGAGCACACGAAATGTCGTTTACCTAGGGTCTGGAATTTGCTGTCTCCAGCGGCTGAGGAGTGCTCTCTGAGCATGGTCTGGGACTTTCCAAGGCCAGCAGATGAGCCTCTCCACTGTCGGGTCAGGTTCCGGAAGCTCATCATTTGTAGCATGGCACCTTCGTGGAGAACAAGGAGGGACAAGGGATCAGGTGGGTGTGACCCTGTTGGTTCCTGCCCTTTTCCTAAGGTAGGCAAGACTATGAGCCTCAGAACCAGAAAGATCTGGGTTTGAACTCGGGTCACATCCCTCACTAGCTGCATAGGATGTGAACTCTGAGCCTCCGTTTCCCTATCTGGAGAATGGGGATAATAATCTCTATCGTACCAAGTAAATATAACTGCTGACCTATTGTAAAATGGCCCATGTTCCAGCCTCCCCCATCCCTCCACATCCTACACAGATCCTCGAAGCCCCAGGCAAAGCCAACTCCCTGAAGTGTGTTTAGGAGGTCGAATTCCAGAGAACATTAGACTTCCAGTTGTTCCTTAAAAATAAGAGCTGTGCTTCTGGGAAGACGACTTAGTCAGTAACATGTGTAAGGACTTGAGTCTGAGTCCCAGAAGCCACATGGAAAAGCTTGGTGTGGGATGCACATTTATCATCCCAGTGCTGGGGGTTAGAGGCAGGAGGATGCCTGCCTGGGATGTGGCCAACTAGTCAGCTAGCCTGTTCACTGAGCTTCCAGCCAACGAGATCATCTCAAACAAGCAGCACCTGAGCAACAACACCTGAGGATGACCTCTGGTCTCCATATGTGGGCACACACACATGTAAATACATACACATACATAAACCCATGTGGTCACACACCTACAAATACACAAAGAAACACTAAATAATAGTCTCATTGGGGAGTAGATTTGGAAAAGCTGCAGAACACAGTCCATTCCCCTGGTGTCTTGATGTGAACTAATACTTTTAAGGGCTCTGAGACCTCGAGCAGTAGATTAAGCTCCTAGCTTTATTTAACCCAGGATCCTTGGATGTACTTCCTGACTTGATATTTTCTATTTTTTGCACTAGACAGCTATTTACAGGCTAAGAAATGTGGGTTTGGTTTCTTTGCACACATATGGGGAGCATTGGGCTACACTACAGAGGCTTTAGGATTTAGAGCGAGAAGTGGCCTGGGTCCTGGATATCTCAGGCTGTCCTGTATGTGCAGATCACAGGGTCAGAATTGGATGAGTGGAGTGAGAGGCCTCCCTGAAACAGGAGTGGGACACAGCTCTCGTTCGGCCTTGGAGGTCTGAGCTGGAAACAGGGAGGTGGGAATGAGGAACCATTTTGGTAACAAGGATAAGGAAATGAGAGAGAAGGGGAGAAGGAGGAAAGAGGAAGGGGGAGGGGAAGGGCATGTTTGGTTTCTACACTTCTTCCTGGAGATATGGTTAAGAAAAAAGAAGGAGGAGGAGGGAAAGAGGAGGAGGAAGAAGAGGAGGAGGAGGAGGAGGAAGAAGAAGAAGAAGAAGAAGAAGAAGAAGAAGAAGAAGAAGAAGAAGAAGAAGAAGAAGAAGAAGAAGAAGAAGAAGAAGAGGAGGAAGAACTGTAGTCCTGAGGCTGTAGCTCAGAGTACAGTGTTTTCCCAGCAAGCCAAGGCCTGCTTCCATCCCCAGTAAGACTAGCAAACAAACAAATACAAAACAAACCACTAACTGGCCAAGGACAAGGCCCTGCAAATGACAAGAAAGTGGAATTCAGAAATTAAAAACTCTAGAGTTAGAAAAATAGTAACAAAAGCAAAAAGAAAACATTAAAAGTGTCCAGTAACAGCAGTGGTTCTCAACTTGTGGGTTGAAACCACTTTAGGCTCAAATGACCCTTTCACAGGGGGTCACTTATCAGATATCCACATTCATAACAGTAGCAAAATTATAGTTATGAAGTAGCAGTGAGTAATTTTATGGTGGGTGGGTCACTACAACATGAGGAACTGTATTAAAGGATCACAGTGTTAGGAAGGTTGAGAACCACTGATCTACACAGATACACATAGAAATGGCACAGACATCACAGACACACACAGAAATGTCACACACACAGACGTCACAGATATACACAGACATCACAGACACACACAGAAATGTCACACACAGAGTCATCACAGATATACACAGACATCACACACACACAGAAATGTCACACACAAGACGTCACAGATATACACAGACATCACACACACACACAGAAATGTCACACACAGAGTCATCACAGCTATACACAGACATCACAGACACACACAGAAATGTCACACACACAGACGTCACAGATATACACAGACATCACACGCACACACAGACATGTCACACACAGAGTCATCACAGCTATACACAGACATCACACACACACACAGAAATGTCACAGATATCACAGATATACACAGACATCATACACACACACAAACATCACAGATAACACACTCATGGACACAGACGCCACACCCACACAGAGCTGGCTATGGGGCACATGTGAGGGTCAGAGAATAACTTTCAGAAATCGGTTCTCTCCTTAAACCACGTGGGTTCCAGGGACCACACTTAGCTCCTCAGGTTTGGCATCAGGTGCCTTTACCAGCTGAGCCACCTTGCCAGGCCCAGGTTGCAACAATTATTAAGAGAGTGTACGGAGGCGTGGGGGAGAACACAGACTGGACCAGGCCACTGTGATTCAAAGCATAGCTCTATCTGTTCTGCTCTGTGACCTTAGGACACGTTTCTAAACCTCCTCTGCCTCTGTGTTCCATTACTTTTCAGAACACATTCTGATGGTTAGACCATCTAAAATATGCTTTAGAACATGGGTTGAGTGTAAAAACAAAAGAAGTCAGTTCTAGGGACTGGCCTCGGGGCTCCCACACTAGGCAACCACTCTGCTGTTGAGTTATATTTCTGACTCTCTTTTTTGCTTTTTATTTTGGGACAAGGCCTTGCTGAATTGTCCAGGCTAGCCTGGAAGACTGAGTGTAGCCCAGGTAGTCCTTGAATTGCAACCCTGTCAATCTTCTGTGTAGCGAGAATGACAGCCCTGTGTCACCAGGCTGGAGCTCCCTGCAGTGGAATACATTTCACTGTTCCTTCAGGGTTAGACTGTTTCACACTCATATTTTGAGAAACATAGCATGCATTGGTGTGTTCTAACTCATGTAGCCTTGTGTGTCACTTGCTTCCCCTGCATTTAGACACCCATCAAGAGAAACGAAGACAGGAGCAACAGGGAAGGACAGACTTTCCTTCCCCAGTGACGGTCCCTCTGACCCATCTGTATCTATTGTGCATCAATCTAGACAGTTTGGGGCTCTCTGCCATTCTTTGTCCCTCCTGAGGAAAGCAAAATACAGTAAAGGCATTTGCTCTTCTCCCATCCACTGGGAGTCTTTTTGCTTTTGCATTACCTTGGGCATCTCAGCCCCTCCTGAAGCCCACACATGGGCTGACGTGCTCCATCCTTGCACACACATGTCTTACCAGAGTTGGGGTACTTCACTACCGTGGGCAGGTACTGCCTCTTGTTTATGTCCACAGGCACGAAGGCTGTGTATTTGCTGATCACGTTGCAGGCCTTGCTGGTGTGCACAGCATTCACCTGGTATCGGTGATTAGACCCTGTGGAAGCAAGAGTAAGGGTTACTGTTTGGGATCAGAAAGTATTGCTTGGAGACTCTAGAAGCTAAAAGGAGAGCTCGCCCAGCAGTCTTCACCTTTGGGATCATATAGGTCTTGAAATCAAGGGCTTGTGAATGTACTAATTAAAGACATTCAGACAAAAAAACCCACATCATTTCACAAAGATAAAGGATGTCTTAATGTAAAAAAAAATTAAGTCATTATCATAGAAAAAAGGTAGCTAATTCCCTTAAATAACTTGTGATATTTAAAAGGTATTCTGTGTTGTCTGTATTTTATATTTGGAGTTTACAGATGACTAATAGGACCCTTGTTACAGGGCTTTGTGGATTCCCAGACTGACGGGACCTACTACACTGCCGAGCGAGGGTTCAAAGCTGAGGCTGGGAAGACAGCTCCCTGGGTAAGAGTGCTTGCTAAGAAAGAATGACGTTTGTGTCCCCAGTGTACAGCTGAAAAGCTGGGCGTGGCCATGGCCACCATGCTGGGGATGCAGGGAGGGGGAGACAGGGGGACCTAGGTTTAGTGAGAGACTCTTGTCTCAAGGGCCTCTGTATATACCTATCTGCCCTCATTTCTCCTCCCCAGCCCCCCCCCACCCCTCTCTCTGAGATTGAAAACCAGGGAGGGAGTCCATGTAGGGTCACACAGCAAGTTAGTAAGGGCCTGAGACTAGGATTTGGGGTGACTTGCCCTGGAAGCACAGGCCCTTTCTACCAAATAGTGGGCCCTCTTTATGGCTTGCTGCCTTCTGAGAGCTGTTCAGGAAGCCAGGGAAATGAGGGGCGGAGGAGAATTCATGGGAAGAAAAGAGTATCACACATTACCCCAAAATACAAATGAAACATAAGCCACATAGTATGTAAATGAAGCGTAAACTTAGAACAAAGGAATCATGTAACTCTTATTGGCCCTTATCTCTGCTCTCCAAGCCTGTTTCATCCAGCTCTCAATAGTCACATTCTGGGGAGAGGCTGCCCCAGTTCCTGAACTAAATTAGCTCCCAAACCATCCCTTTTGTACATGGCGTGGACTCAAGTGTTTCTGAGCAGCACTTAATTAATTATCTGTGTAATTGTTTGATTAATGCTGGCCTCTGTTAGCCAGTGCCAGGTGCTCCTGGGAAAGGAAGGGCTTGCTTTGTTCTATGCCAGCCAAACTTCTGAGGCATCTACAGGGCCAAACACCTAGCCTGGCCCCCCAGCTGGGTGCCCAGCTGACTGTCAGGAAGTCAGTGGGGCTGATGAGAGAGTGCAGGATCTCAGCTAAGTCTAGGGACCCTGCAGGAAAGGTTCTGTCTCAGAGGAGGCCCTATCGCTATTGGGTCTCCAGAACCAGGCACCTGGCACTGCAGAGAAGTGCTGGGTGTGAGCGAGTATGGGTGCCAGGGAGTGTAGGAGTAGAGGAGGCGGGAAAAGAGGAGGATGTGTCACCAGGAAAGTGGGAGAGGTGGAGGAGGCCAGGACCAAGGAAGGCAGGGCACCTCAGGTGAGGCTGGAGCCCCAAGTGCCATTATATGTGGGGGGGAATGCAGGCCCCTGGAAACGTCTAGTGGCAGGCAGAGAGCCTTGGTCACCCAAGGGTGTGGGAAGGGTTGGAGGCAGGGGAGGGAGAATTAATATTAGGGCCTTGAGTAGAATGGGGATCCCTCCTCTCTGCTTCTAAGAGTGAGCAGGGCATGGGGTGGGGCTTCCATGAAGAATGGGTAGATCTAGGAGCGGGCAGAGTGCTGGGCCCAGGAGGGCAGACTTTGAGATCGTGGGAGGGGCTTTTATGAAGGGCAGGGATGAACTTTTTTGGGGGGGTGGCATAGGGAAGTGCTGTGAAGAGGGTTGGGCATATACACGACAGTGGGCAGGATACCGGAAGGCTAGAGGGAGGATCATGTAGTATGGGCAAGGCTTTGGTGAGAGGTGGGGTGACATTCAGGCATGGGAGGCGACACTGGATGGAGTTGGTTGGTTAGGCGGCTAACCTAGGGAAATGGTTGGGTTACTGGAACCCCCAGAACAAAGGCTTTGAGGGCTTTGGGGTGTGGGGAGGACTTAAAAGGTTGTGGAGGGGAATCTTGGCAGGTGGGTAGGGCACTAGGCTGCTAGGGGGCACGCCTTGGGTGTGGGCGGGGCTTTGGGAAGGGATGGGGCGGGGCTTGGGCAGTGGGTGGGACCCTGTGCTGCTAAAGGACTGACTCTGGGGTCAGGACTGCCCTCTCCACCATCCTGGGCGCTCACCCAGCTCGATCTCGTCCTCACGCTCTGCCAGCTGCTCGAAGTCGCGGATGATGGCGCGAGCTGCCAGGTGGTGGAAGGTCTCGCTCCACATGTCCGCACCTTGCGCGGCCTCCCTCTGCAGGGCTGGCGGTTGCAGCTCAAAGCTCACCTCCCACTGCAGACGCTGGTTGTCGCACAGGCCTTTCACCAAGGCCTTGCCCAGCACAGGGCCTGGGGTGGCAGGCCTGCAGGGACTGCCTTGGTCCTCTGACTCAGCCGCGGGCTCCCACTCTGAGGACGTCTCCGTCTCCAAGGTGGAGAGGTGATGGGGTGGCTCTGTGGGCGGAGGGACAAGAGGGCTGAACCTGAGGCCAGAGAGGGGGAGCCACCCACAAAGGACATCGTCCCTTGCCCAGCGTCAGTCACTTCTAGAAAACACAATGCTAGCACCGCCCGCCCCCCTTAAGTAGAGAACAGCACGGGTGGCCTGGGTCTGTCCCAGAGGCACAGATCCACCTTGCAGGAAGCTTGTCCCTGAGGGGCTGGATAGATGGGGTGGGACAGTCAGGTTGAGTGGAGAAGGTGGGACTAGACAGCAAGAGTTTGTTCTCAGAGCAAGAGTGTCACAGAGGTACAGAGGCAGGTGCTGGTCCTCTGTCCCTGCCATCTGAGATTCTATCCCCTCACATCTTGGACCTTGACTTACCCAGGTCCTCAGAGCTTCGGCTGTCAGGGGCAGACTTAGGGCTGGAACCAGGATCCAGTTCCCTCATAGGGCTCCAGGATTGGGGCTCCTGGCCAGAGGACAGCAAGTGTTGACAGCCTTGAGGCAGTAGGGAGGGCCTGCGGGCCCCTGGGCCGTGCAGTCTGGGCCCCTGGCGCATGTCATGGCCACTGTAGAGTAAGGGCTAAGGAGGAAAGCAGGGAGGAGGGAACGGGAGGGAGGAGGGGAGATGCAAGATGGAGAGCGAGGTACAAGGAGGAGGAAGAGGGGATGGCAAGGAAGGGGAAGGGGAAAGGAGATGGGAGAAGGAAGAGGAGGGAAGGGAAGGGGAAGAGGGAGGAGGTGGTGAAAAGGGGATGAGAAGGAGAAGAAAGAGAAGAGAGGATGGAGAGGAAGAAGGGGAATGAGGAGGAGGGGGAGGACAAGAGAACGGGAGAGAAGGGGGGATGAGAAGAGAGTAGGAGGAGGGAGGAAGAGGAGGAGAATGGAATGAGGGAGGGGGAAGAAAGAAGAGGAAAAATGAAGGAGGAGGTGAAGCCCATTGACTGGTGGCTAGCCTCCTTCTCCAGCCCCTGAAACACTTTCCACTTTCTCTCCTCTCTCTCTCCCTTTCTCTGCTCCACAGTTCTTTCCAGGGCAGCCCCCCCCCCAGGGATCCAGGGACTCATGACTTAATCTTCACCTCCCATGAGAAACAGAAAGCAGAAAACTCCCAGGCCACGGGTCAACTCCAAGGCGCAGGGAACCATGTGCCATGGAGAATTCCAAAACCCACTTTCCTTTTTGGCATAAAGCTTAAAACCTTTTTTGTGTGTAGTTAAAATTACCAACCCTTTCCCTTATGTCTCCCCATATGCTGTGCTTGAAAGGTCTTTCCTACCCCCCAAAAAATCTTCTACAAGTTTTGTTATTTTTGTTTGTGTGTTTTAAGTCTTTGATTCATATGCAATTTATTTTCCTGTGAGGCGATGGGAACCAGCTTTTACTTTGCTTTTCCAAATGGTGCAGATCTCAGTACTGTTTGCTGAATACAGTGGGCTCTCTGCAGTTTATCAACTCGCTATACTATCCTTACAAAGCTTGTATGTGTGCGCGGCGCTGTTTACAGGCTTTTTGGTCTGTTTTGATGATTTAATCTATCTGTTTTTGGGCTTGGTATAAACAAGCATCCGAAAGCCAAGGGGTAGATGGGAAATACCCTTGTGCCATGTGAGGTGGAGTTCTTCTTTTTTTTTTTAAAGAAAACTCTCTTAGTATCACTTGGGTTTCTAGGGAATTCAGGACCCTGACTTCTGTGAAAACATGTGTTTGTTAAAAAGTGCATTTTAGTTTCCTCACCACGTGTGTTTGTGTGTGTAAAGCAGTGCCACTGGGCACGTGTGGTTAGAGGATACACACGGAAGGAGTTCTTCCACCCTGTGGGACTCAAGGATCGGGTGGGACGCGACCCCACTGAACTGCAGCCCAGCGCCACTCGGCTTTAGCCTTGGACCAGGGCTGCCCTGATTTGCATGGCAGACACCGACTGCATGGCACATCCATGGTGCCTCGTGCTAAGATCCCAGGAGCATCAGCCAGCCAATCCAGACTGCCCTCCTCCTCATGACAAACTGTATGCCCAGAAGCTACACACAAGGAAACGTTTCCCAAACACAGGAAGACACCCCATCTCCTTACCTCGTGCAGCATTGCCCTAAGGGGAAGGTGGCACCGTACCTACTGCCCAGCCCATTTGCCCTCTTCCAGTGTGCTCAATAAACAATTATGCCTTTTCTGGTCTTAAACGGAAAAGAAAAACATTATCTCCCATGTAATTGGAGGGGAAACACAAAATTAGAATAGTGGGGGCGTTCATCCATAAGCCGTTTGTATTGAGCATGCCAATAAGCTAAGCAGAAATGTTCTGAGCCATGGCAGTTAACGCAAGTCACATCTTTCCATATTAGAGAATGGTAAGTACCTGAATGTTTGGTCTCATTGTCTCAGGGTCTCTTATGGGTGGTAAAGGGTAATGGCAGTGGTAGAATCTGGGACAATGGGCTGTCTATCAATCACCAGTTGAAATCCATGGGTACCTGAGACAGCGATTTTACTCTTACAAATTCAACCCCATGGGAACCGTAGGGGCACAAGGTCTGTGTGCAAGCCATGTGTATTTGTTGCAGTACTGATAATCTGAGTAAAGTTCAGGTAACTAGCTGGGTGAGGTAGCAATGCCTTTAATTCTAGCACTTAGGAGGCAAGGGAAACAGATCTCTGTGAGTCTGAAGTTAGCTTGGTCTATACGGTGAGTTCCATGCCAGTCAGAGCTACACAGTGGCACCACGACTTAAAAAAATTCTGGAAACTACATCTCCATCAGTAGGGGAGAAAAAGTAGGTTATGGTATATCCAGGCAATGAAGTATCACACAATACTGAATAAAAGTTTTTTTTGTAGCGCTGTGAGAAGGTAGTTGAGAACAATTACCTTAAATATTAAATTATGACAGATCTGTATCTCAATTATGACAAAGAGTAAACTTGATGATTTTCAGACTCAGAGAACTGTTAGAGGGATTTTACTGTATGTCAGCGTGAATTCAGATGCCATTAAGTGGGCCAGTGAGATGTCTCAGCTGGGAAAGGTACTAGCCACCAACCCTGAGATCTGGAGTGTGATCACTTGGATCCACACGGTGGAAAGATAATTGTCCTCTACCCTCCACAAGGATGCAGGAGCATGCCCGCCCACTTGCCCACCCACATGTATACACATCGGAAACAAATGTGCCAAAAAATTATTTTAAAAAGTATTAAGACACTATGTTGGAGGATAATTTGCATAAGCAGCTATTAAAATATGCATTTGTTCCATATATATGTGTATGTGCATGGTATTTCTAGAAAGACATACTCGGAACCAAGTGCGCGTTGGTGTAGGGGAAGGAGACTTTATTTGTACTTTATACCCAAATGAACTGTTGTATTACTTTTGTGATGGAAGAATATTAAGCTAAAATGAATTTCCAGTTTCTTAGACCACATTCCTGACCCGGCAGGGGAACGAGATGAGGAGACAAAATCACTTACCAGTGTAATGTAATTTGGGGGGATATCAGCAAACATTGGGGATCTCTCCACACTATTTAGTATGTATCAATAAGTATTGGGGTGTGATTTCCATAGAAGACATGCCTTCCTATCTCTAGGTCAAGGACCTATATAGTTCAAGGCATGAAAGAAAAGGAGACTGGCCACTTTTAGGGTGCTTCTGGGGGGGCAGGTACCCAGTCGCAACTCCCCGACCCCTCCATTGACCTTACCATCACCCACACTGGGTCAGAGAGAAATGGATTCTGCTACAGTTTCCATGGTAACAGAGGCATCTTCAAGCTAGCTTTCAGATTCACCCAGCCAGAGTCTCTGGGGAATCTACACACACACACACACACACACACACACACACACACACACACACACACACACACGCACACACACACGCACACGCACACACACACGCACACACACACCACAGTGGAGAGCTGGTGAGAGATGGTGGGGGAGAGGGGAAAGAGATGGAGAAAGATGTGAAGAAGAAAGGTAGCTAGCTTGCCTGGGGCACTCAGTGAGTGCAGGTGACATTGAAGAACACCGGCTACAGCCAGACACTGGGCCAGGACTGCATCTTGAATCCACTAAAGCCTGGGAGCCTTCTCCACCTGGAGTTCACCCCCAACTCTATATCTGCTGGTAGATGGCAGACCGCCCACCTACATACATTCTCCCCATCTTGTAGATGAGGCGGTGGGGTTCAGAGGGGCTCAGAAACGTATGAGAAGAGTGCCTGACTCCAAGACTAACTGACATATACCAAGAACACTGAGGGTCCTTGGAGAAGCGAGGAGAGTCCCCAGGGGCCAGGTGGTGTGTGGCACTCGCATATGTGGAGATTGGGAGAGGATGTGGCAGGGAAGTGGGAAGGCACGCTGGGGATGGTGGGATGCTGCGTTGACCCGCATACTTAGGGCGAATCTACATGGTTTCTGACCTGAAGAAAATGATTAAGTCATGATGTGGTTTAGCATAGTGGTCTCAGCTGGGTGACTTTATCCCGCTGACCCCAGAGACATTCTATCATGCCTAGGACCAACCTCTATGGCAGAGCCTTGACAACAGCAATGCTGGGGTGGTTGAGGGCTGACCTCATAGGACACTGGTGACCTTTCCTGTGGTGGCTCTGAGTCCTATTTCCTTTGCCTTCGGTGACTGTCCAGTCATGGCAGGATCGATGGAGGGGAAGTAAGAACCCTGAGGGCCGGGACTTCCAGGTCAAATCCACTGGCCATGTGGTTCCAGTTAAGTCAACTTCTCTAACCTTCAGTTGCCACATCTGTATCAAGTGAGGGTGGATGGTCTCCAAGCCCCCTCCTCTCCCTGATACCATAAAACCTAAAGACAAGACCCTGTGCCAATGGGGAAGTACTGTGTACAGGGGCTGGGCAAGCATGCTGACCAGTGAGTGTCATGATTAGGAAGGCATTGGGAGCTGGCAGAAGAAGGTTCAGTTAAGGATGGAGGGGCAACTTCCTAAGCCAGAGATGATCTGTCTGAGGGGTCATCAGTAAATACGCTTCAGATGAAAACTAATATCATCGGGAGGCTTAGCATTAGCTGGATTTGGACCTGAGTTCTACCTGATGCTCAATGTTCTCGTGTGATAAACACCCAACTTTGTTGTTATGTGTGAACCATAGCCAACCCAAGCCCCTCCCAGCCCCTCCCACCCCACCCTGCTTAGGTACCTGCAGGTCAATCTGACAACGCTGGCTCTGCGGGCTGCTCTGATTGGCCAGGTACTGCACCTTGGCTTTTCGCAGTGTGTGTCTCCTGGCAGTCCCAGTGGGGTCACTGGCTGTGGTGGCCCTTGGGCAGGCCTTCTGGGTTGAGATCTGGTTGGTGCTGTAGGCCCTCCGTCTCCGGGAGACAACCAGACCTGGGCAAGGGTAGTAAGAGAGGAGCTATCAGGGTGGAGAGTAGTAGGGAAAGAAAGGGGCTAACATGTGCTTGCCCTACTTTCAAATGACTTAATTTCCTGTTTTCTTACAGAAATATGTGCATTTGCTTCCCTTAGCATCCAGAGCCTTGCCAGGTCTGGTCCTGGTCTATCTTCCCACAACTATCCCTTTTAGCCTCTCCAGTGTGTGTGTGTGTGTGTGTGTGTGTGTGTGTGTGTGTGTGTGTGTGTGTGTGTGATGTCAGGAATCTTCCTCAATTGTTTCCATTCAACTCATTTTCAATGGGTTCTGTGGATCCAAACTCTGACCCTCTTGCTGGTGTAGTAAGCACTTGGCTCACCGAGCCATTTCCCTGGCCCCAATCTTACTTTTATTCACATTTATTTCATGTTGAATTTATTCAACACCATGAAATGCTTTATGCATTTGCCCGTCATCTTTGTGCAGGGGCCATGCTAATCTCCTCCATATCATTTTAGTCTTAGTATATGTGCTGCTGAGGTGAGCAGTCCATTGTATTCTTTTAACAGGATTTCTCACTGACTGAAGCTCACTGATAAGCTAGATTTACCAGCATGCCCCTGGATCCTCCTGTCTCCACCTCCCAGCACTGGCTTTAGCTAGGAATCCACACTCATGCTTTCTCAACAAGCACTTCACCCACTGAGCCATCTCCCCAGCGCCCTCTGGTCTCCTTTTAGAGATGCTGTGTGGTCAGCGGAAACTGCCATAGATGAGCAGCCAATGGCCAGTGCTTTCTATGTGCCATGCCTCCATGGCTTTGCCTGAGCGCTTCTGCTAGCAGGCACCTCCTCTCCCTTCCCACGGCTAAGAACCAGGCCTCAGCTGTCTATGACCTTGGGCAGGTATGGGGACGGTTGGGGGGGTCGGTGTTCCTCTGCTTTAGCAGAGTTAAGGTCAATTGTGCCTTTGTGTCTAACGGGGGAATCTTGGAGGGCAGGTGCCAGGTGGGAGCCACCCTACTGCCCCCACCCCTGACACACACTACGCTACTTGTTAAAAAATCAGTAAATGCTCTTGGAAATGGCCTTAAACTCGACAGAGGCACATAGGTTGGGTTGACCGCCCCCCTTTAGCATCCAAAGCTTAGTCAGTTGCCGAGATTCTATAGATTCTGTCTCCTTGTCTGCTAACAAGAGTTAGTTTTTATCAAATGCTTAACACATGGCAAATGCTCGATATAAGGTAGCAATCACTATGGCTTCCATGGAAAATGGAACAGAAAGCAGAGGACCAACCATGATGGGTGGGGGAGTCTCCACTGCATGGTTGGGCATCTTTGGTCTGGCCCGGGTTGAAGATTTTGGCGCAGTTCCCACTGCCTGGGCCAAGTCCCTCATCCTGAGAGGGGTAGAAAACAGAGCTGCTGGACCCCTGAGCGTGCAGCATGCCGTACTTCCGCCTTTTGTCCTGGACACAGGAGGGGGAAGAAGGGTGAGAGCGAAGTTAGACTCAGCAAGGACTTTCATGGGCAGCAAAGGGTGTGTGGTGGTGGTTTGGGCAGGAGTTCACTTCTGAGGACCTAGAAAGCTAAGGAGTGCTTGCTTGCTTGTTTGGAGGACTGAGGTGAATCTCTGGTCAAGAGATGGTGAACATGGAGCTGGGTATTGTGGCTCACATCTGTGACCCCAGAACTTGGGAACAAGGCTAGCCTGTGACACATAGCAAGCTCCAGGCAAGCCTGGGCTACAAAGTACAATTCTGTCTCAACAACATAATACGAAAACAAAAATGAGAGGAAGAATAAGAATAGGATTTATTCTTATATTATGGTGATATTTAAAATCATTGACTTTGTCCACTGAAAAAATTTAAAAATGTAATTCTAAATTTCATTCTTGTCTCCTAATAGATGAACTATGTGTCCTTTTATTCTGCTCTTCACCACACACACACACACACACACACACACACACACACACACACAGAGAGAGAGAGAGAGAGAGAGAGAGAGAGATAGAGAGAGAGAGAGAGAGAGAGCACAATGCACAATTTTGGAAGTCACGTTTTCTTTTACAAAAACCAGACCATATGTATTTATCAATATCTTGAATGTTGTAGCTAAAACACTCTGCCTGCTAACCATTGTCCTTAACACCTGGCTATGTAGCATTCCACTACCTTTCAATGTGAAGCATTTGCTTCATGTCTGTCTTTACCACCATATGATCCGTCATCATAAATCCATTACATTGCTGTTCCATCTCCGGGGCAGCACTTAGGAGTGGCATTTCTGGATTGCAAGATTCATGCATTTCTAATTTCACAAGCTGTTTCTAGATTGGCTTCCATATGAAGGTGCTGTTTACCCAGCATCTGCCAGTAGCAGGAGACAACATGGCCAGTCTCATGGGTGAAGAAAACAGAATTTTGAAAAATGATGTGTGCGCATGTGCGCATGTTTGTATGTCTGCTCACATACATGAGAATGCACGTGTGTGGGTCTGTGTGTGGAAGCCAGAGGACAACCTTGGATGTCATCCTTAGCATCACTCATCACTGTCTACCTCCTTGAGACAGGGTCTCAGTCTCCTGGAGTTTGTCAATAGACTCAAGAACTGGTGAGCAAGCCCTGGGGACGGAGCCTCCTGTCTCCACCTTCCTACTCTGGGATTACGAGCAGCCATACCGCTTCCTGAACATGTGGGTTCTGGGGTGAAATTTGCTTCCTCACACTTGTGAGGCTGAGGCAGGCACTTTGCCTTGCCTCCACTATTTCAACAGCCCAAGAGAATGAGTTGATGACTTAGTTGGGTCCCTCTGTGGGAATGTGTATTGATAATCTAGTGTCTTTCAGGGCTCCAAGTGTAATTAAAATTAAATACAACATGGACCATGAAAAAACAAGGCCAGTATTTTGTTTAGAACTTTCTCTGTGCAGCTGAATAGCCCACCTTCCATTACACGTTCATATTAAACACTAAAAATTCTGGACATTTCAAACAGCATTCAAGCTCTTCTTAGAAACACATTCCATACATGACCTGTGTCTTAGTACAGAGCCATTTTAATACAATGAATGGAGGCTTTCTAGTTTAGTCAGGCGAACCCTAGGTAGCTGGACATGTTCCCCATGCTCCTTTGGCCTTATGGAGGAGTTCAGTCATGGTTGCTGCCCTTCACGGCTTCTCTCTTTTATTTTTATTATTTTTAAATACATGTCTGCTTTACAAGAAAGTGAGCATGTGTGTTCCTGTGTGTGTGGATGCACATGTGTACACGTGCATGTAAAGTCCTGAAGACAAACGCATGCCACTATACCTGTCATTTCTACGCATGGGATTGAACTCAGGCCCTCTTGCTAGCATGACAAACACTCTACTGACTGAGCCCCGCCCCCGGCCCTGCCTTCTAACGTACTGAGTTCATTTTATACTTAGCCACTTTAGGCTTTGAGTTTGTAAGTCCTTAAAAACCAACCGTGAGAGTGGGGTGAGGAGGCACAATCTCCTCCATGTCTGGGGTACTCACGGATCTGGAGTTGGAAATGTACAAGGAGGCATCACACACAATGCCGTATCCCATCAGCCGTTCCCCAGGGAATAGGGAGCTGGTGCTGACAGGTGAGATCAGGACCTCTGTGGTGTCAGGGAACACCCACTCCACGGTCACGTCAGTCAACACTGGAGCCATGGCCTTCTTCAAGGATTTGATCATCTGTTAGGGAGGGTCAGACAGAGTAGATGGTGTGTGAGGAGGGTGTGGGGAGATGAGATAAAAAGATGGTGAGAATGTGAGCTCCAGGGGAGGAAGACACAGCAAGCTTGGGGTAGCCGGTCCAGCAGTGGACAGACCTCTGAACTCCTTAGACTCTTGGAATAGATCTTTGCCCTCACCTTCATCTTAGCATTTTATAACAGAGAAAACCAGGGGATCAAAGTGTGGCCCAGCATGGAGCTCAGATTTGGGGTGGCATCTCAACCTCACCCTCCGGCCTATCTGGGCTGGTGATGCTGCAGGCCTGGGAGACGCCAGCGGTCCTGTGTACCTTTGGTTGCAGCCGCTCCCCCTCCGTCAGAAACTCCGCACTGCCCTTGGATACAGACGCCAGCCCTTTCACCAGTCGGTAGCACACACTGGGTCCAATTCCAAAACTGTAGCACCTGAAGGACAGAGACAGGGAGGTAGCTCTGTATCATTGTCTCCAGTGGGATAAGAGACAGAGTGTGGTCCATCAGAGATGACTTTGTCTTTAGGCAAAAACCTGGGGAGGAGGAGGAGCTATCGTGGACAAAACACACACACACACACACACACACACACACACACACACACACACACACACACACTACAATCAATCAACTCCCAGTCAGCACTGGCAGCAGTCTCTCCTCAAGCTACACTTGGACTTGCATGCTGAACTGTGGACAATTCACCTCTCCTCATCTTATGAGAGGGAAAAAGGGGCAAACATGGAAAGCATTGCTCAGCAACCCGGAAACAAGGCATTCTGGGAAATGTAGGTACCATCTTCTTCCTCTGACACAGTGCACATTTCGTTTTGGTTCGGGTTCCCCCAACCTCAGGCAGCCTGGGGCAATCCGACCCTAGATCTGCATGCTGGACTGACCTGGTAGAAGAGGCATGATTCCGCACCAGCTCCAGAACCTTCCCCGTGTTGCTCACGGCCCCATCCGTGATGAGGAAGAGGAGCCTTGGGTGACCTTGGTGCACTGGCTGCCGGAAGATCCACTTGAGAGGGGAGAGGATGTTGGTACTGCCCATGTCAGCTCGTGTTCTTTGGATGCAGTCACATGCCATGGCCAAGTTCTCCTGCAAGGAAGGGCCGTGGCAGGGCAGACAGGTCCTAGGTCCACCAGGTGGCATGGAGACTCTAAGAGGCCCCCTTAGGATGAACTCTGTTCTCTGGCTCTTAGTTCTGCCACACCCCTGCCCACCCATAGGGAAAATAGTCAGCCACTGATGTAATTCATCCTCCGTCAATGTCTAAAATGTCACCATTTGCAGAATAATAATATTATTGCCCTTTCTAGATTCTTCTTTAGAAATACGAGCACCCCTGGAATCCTGAGCTCTTGACTCCTCAGCGCAAATACAGCTCTCTGCCTGGTAAGGGAAGCAGGGGACATGGAGGAAAGTACACAGTACTGGGCATCCTCAGACATGAACACTGAATCTGACTCTGGCACATACTCCCATGATAATTTGAGATGCTTGTTTTCCCAGTTTGGGCTTTAGATTCCCCATCTTCTGGACTAACTTTATGGGGACTGGCATCAGATAGATGGTATTGCATTAGGAGCTGAGTCTCTCTGGATGCCATCTCCTGACCCTGGCTCTGGAAGATTCTCTTTCTGTATCCATGTCTGGAGGGACTTAGAAGGAACGGTGGATACTGAGGTTGGGGTGTGGTTCTTTTGGTAGTGTGCTCACCTAGCAAATAGGCAAGCCCCATATAAACAAGGTGTGGTGGGGGCATGCCTGTAATTCACTCCAGATCCATTAAGATCATCCCTAACTATATAGTGAGTTGGAATCAGCCTAGACTATGCAAAACCCTATTTTTAAAAAGAATAGCAGCAATGGTCAATATTGTCGATATCAAGACTTATGATGGATATGTAGTTTTGAATTCATCCCCAGGGGACAAGCAAAGATGCATGGGAAATCTATAAGCAAAAATGACTAAGTATAAAAGCATGGGGGCTGAGGAAAGGCCAGCTTCCAGGCTTCATAAATAAATGCCAGGCTGCCTAAGTGGTGGGTCAGACAGTCATTAAAATGATGTCACAGATGGAAATTTTCTGGCATGACAATATATTCATGATAGACTAGGAAAGTAGGTCATGTCACAGTATGGAAGACCTAGTCCCCGTCTTGAAAATGTCTGCAAATTTACAGAAGTTGATCTGGAAACGACACTTATTCTCCTTATCGTTTTTGTTTTTGTCAGATGGGTGTCATCCACAGGAGATTAAATTTTTTCCTTTTGATTATCTAGATCTAAAACTTAGCAACCAACAGGCATTCTTATTCTTGCTTGTTCATGACAGGGTGTCAAGCAGCCCAGGCTAGCCTCAAACTCACGATGTAGCTGAGGCTGTCCCAGTGCTGGGATCAAACATGTGTCACCACCTCTGGATCAACATGTATTTCTCTTCTTATTTTAAAAATCTGTGCATCCTTTACTTTTAGTTAAGTAGCCAACGATGCCCCTCCCCCTTCCTCCTTCCTCACATGTCCCCCTCTTTCCCCCTCCTCTCAGCTCTTGGTAGAATGCCCCAGTTCCTTTTGTTCCAAATAGCATCGAAGCCTTAGCCTTGTAAGGACCCCTGCAGCCACTTCCTCAGCTACTTCCTCAGTCGCTTGGCCATGTAATTGTTCTTCTGTCTGTCATCATTCATTTCTGTAGTTCAGCCTTGGGTGAACCCATGGTTTTCAAGAGATAAAGGTGGTGGTGGACGGCAGGCCATGGGCGTGACAGATGTGTACTGTGTCCTCTGTCCCTGCTCTCCATGTCCATGTTCTCACAGACTTTATTGTAATAGGCAGAAGGCTTCTGGAGGCACCAGCAAGCATGGCTTTGCTTTAATCTACTGGCCCAGATGATCTGAGCTCTCCCTGGGTAGGCAGTGTCTGAGGCTGTCCCCAGCATGACATCTTTACTATTCCCTTTCTTTTCTTCTGCTCACTACTGCCCATCACCCACCCATGACCAAACTTTCTCTCTCCTTACCTCATTGTAGATCTGACTGGAAGCAAAGACTGTCTTAAATGTGGATCCAAAACCAACGACATTGAAGAGGCAGGCTGGCATGAGGCTCTTAAGGGCCACCAATGTGGCCTCCTGCCAGGCAAGAAAAGGAATCCTCAGGGCTCAGGCAGGGGCTACTGCCACGATGTCACCACACAGCAGTGCTGCCATTTCCAGCATGGAGCCACCTCCACAGGGACCTGTCACCCATCGCACCTAGCACTCCTTCTTTATGTATCATAAAAACTGCCGCTCTTGACCGGAGGCTGACCCATCAAAGCTATCAGCATATGACTCCTCATCCATGCAGCAGGCCTGACTCATCGAAACCACTCTGCAGTGACCTCAGAGTTCCCCATCACCTCGTGCTGACTTTGAGAGGTGAAAGGAGCAGGGTCTGCCCATTTCCCTCTGCCAAAGCAAACTGGACCTTGAGGAGAGGTCACATTGTTGATCTCATGGCATCTGGCCCTCATCCAAGGCTCCTGCAACAGCACCATCCTGTCACTAGCCAGTTACAGATCCCCTAGGAGGTCTCCTGGCTAGCATTTGTCAGATGCAAATGATGTGCTTCAAGTGTGTTGCCTTGCAGCAGCCCCAGCAGCAGCCCCGTTGTTATCCCTGCTCTACAGATGAGAAGATGGCACGGAGAGGGCAATGATTGGTGGAAAGTATCCAGTTAGTAAACAGTACAGCCGGGATTCAATCGCGCCTCCTGGCCTCCTAAGTCTGAACATTGGAGATCCCCATCCTCTGGAACTGTGCACCACTAGGAGACCTGGATAAAAGTGCTAAATATAATCGTGTGGGGCTAGAGAGATTAAGAGTATTTTCTCTGCAAACATGAAGGCCAAAGTTCACATCCCCATCACCCAAATAACAAGCTGAGCGCAGCTGTGGGTGTCTGTAACTCCAGTGTTCTGCTCTGGTTTCTACATGCGTGCATGAACTTACATTCTCACATACATGCCACGCCCATACCCATACATGCCACACAGATAGAAAGACACAGAGAGAGAGAGAAAAGGGGGACCCAATGAAGCTGGGCATGGTGGTACATGTCACTGGTCAGCCTGGGCTATGTAGGAACTTCCAGTCCAAACTGGGCTACATATCTCAACTCTATACCAACACATAGGAAGGAAGCAAGCAAGCAGGAAAGGAAAACAGCGGAGGTGATGGTGGGAGGAAGCTGTGACCGTAATGATCACTAGCACAATGACCAATACCTAGCTACTACTACGTGCTACCATAGTGTAAAGAAATTTCAGTTAACAATCACATTTATCTCTGTGAGTTCGAGACCGGCCTGTTCTACCGAGTGAGCTCCAGGACATACAAGGCTACACAGAGAAACCCTGTCTCGGAAAACAAAAAAACAAACAAAACAAAACAAACCAACTTTAGTCACTGTTGCATGAATTATGTATAGCGCAGTGGGTCAGCGATGCACTTGAAATGGAAACCCCACCTTCCCATTGTTCACTTGGCTTTGGGTCTGCCTGAGCCTCAGCGTGCCACAGAGGAAACAATATGCAGCGAGCTCTGTATTAGCACTAATGCCTCTGTTTGGGGGAGAATGGGCGGAGGCTCAGGAGAGCTGAGGCATTGTTCTGGGTCGTAAAACTGGGGTGTGTGGCTTTGGCTTTCACAAACCCAGTAGGATGGCACCTGCTGCCAATCCCTAAGATCCACGTGGTGGAAGGAGAGAAATGAATCCCACAAGTTGTCCCCTGGTATCCACACACACCCCAGAATGTCTGCAAAATGAATAAAATGTTATAAAAAAGAAAAATAATCCCCCAATACAGCGCTGAAGTCTTCATTTGTGCTGGCCATGCCTCAGCACAGAGGCAGAAATGAAACATCTCCACTTTAACCCCGTAGAGTGTATTCATGCTCCCCACCCTCTGGCTGCTCAGCATAGTTTCAGGGAAACAGACCATAATACTCTAGAATATGGAAGCAAACACTGTCAGTTGATTCCAGCAATTGCCACAACATCCAGCCCTGCAGCCCTCTTCTGTCTGTCCCCCTCTGCAAACACATTAAATGCTTCCATTAATGTCCCTGCTGCCTCCCTGCACTGCCTGTGTCAATACATTTTGTGTCTCCACGAAAGAAGTCAATATCTGCTTTTTTTCATTAGCCACTAATGCATATTCCTACTGGCAGGAGACTCTGCTGATCCGTACAGATCATCTCCACTCACACCTATTAGAATTTTAAAGCCCTGCTTTTGGCAGCAAGTGGTGACTGAAGACTGGGACCAGCTGCCGGAAATTAAATCGCCTGAACTTTCCCCTTTGGCGTGGGCTGCTTGGATTTCTACTCCTTCCCTCCTCCCTGACTAAGCCTTGCTTTCCCTAAAACTTCTACCCAATGGACCATAATGAATGACTCAAGCACACCCCCTGCCCCAACCAACCATATCCTTGGCAAGGCTTTCCCCGAGTAATTTCTGTCTTTCTCTGGAAGGGTCATGCTTAGCTGAGTGGATTGCACCAGCACAGAGCCTTTTGTGAAGGGATGACCTTGAGCCCAGAGAATGGAACTAGAAAAAATCAAGGGGGAGGCACCACAGGGAGAGGGCACTGAAGGATGGACCAGAGAAAGTCACTGTCAAGAGATTTCTGAAGCAGTAAAGGTGGAGAGGGCTTCAGCTAATGAAGTGGATTCCTGCTCATAAACAATTTCATTTTAACGATAATAACTCCCTGGAGTGCTTGCGTGAGGAGGACACAGACTCAGTCCAGGCTTAGCGGGGGTTGGAGAGTGTTGGGGAAGGGTCAGGATCAATTACTGATGCCTCCCTGGGCCGAGGAGAAGGAAGCAGAGGGCCACATGACATACATTTGCCCTCCCTGAATCAATCCTTTCTTCTCGCCTCATAGAAAGGATGAATGAAGTCCACACTTGAGAATCGGTTTGTCCAAAGCCTCATAGCAATTGTGACAGAATCAATTCTGGACCCTGGGATTGCTCCCTCGACCATGCCATGCAGCAGAAATGACTTACTCAAACAAGAGAGATTTGTAAACACCAGAGGGCATGGCTCACTCCTCATAAGCAGTGTGTGAGAAATGGGCACAGATCTGGAAGGCCCCAGTCCCTCCACCAGCCCTGTGATACTTGGAAAAGCATTTCACCCCCTTAAGGATTCAGTTTCTTTACTCCAGAAATGAGAGGGCAGGATAGGAAATGCTTTTCAAATACTATTTTAGGTGTATAATGCTGGGGCACTCTTAGGTGATCAAGGGAATATCTCAGTGTGGGTGTGGAACGGCATATAGAGCCACACTGTCTGGAAGTACACTTCAGCACTCCAGACCCCGGACAGCTCCCCACTCGCCTCCACCTCCTGTAGGGGTAGGGGGTCTCCACAGGTCTCACATGCATGTGTCAAGATGCTTCCAGAAGGCTCTCGGCTCTCATCTATGATGCCTCTGCCATTATTCAAGACTAGAGGGACTTAAGAGGCCAGGAGCTTGCCGGCCTTATGGGTCCCACCTACGTTCTCGTCTCCTTGCTCTCGTCTGTTGCTCTGGGGCTCTCGAAGGGGGAAATGATGGAATCTCCAGTGACAGGAGAGCCCACTCTTTTCTGGTTCCCCTTCTCTCTTTCTCCTGAGCTACAACCCATTCCTCAATCCAATAAGTATATTGAGGGGTTTTTATGAGAAAGTGCAGAGCTAGGCCACGTGGGGACAGCTGAGGACCAGACGGTTGTTTCCCTTAATGAGTTCAATAACTCCAGATGGGAAGACAGACAGCTGCAGAAGTCACAATACAAAGGAACATTGGATAACTCTGTAACAAGCTTAATGATTTCCCAGCAGGGAAGAGGGGCTTCGTGGTGGGTGAGGAGGGCTCTTAACATTCTTCCTCATTATTTATTTATCTGTCTGTCTGTCTGTCTGTCTGTCTGTCTGTCTGTCTTCCTAAGCAGGGAAACCAAGCCAAACTCCCAGGCCTTCTGACTGGCTATCAAGTTAGCATGCCACACTTGACTGAGCTCTGTGAGAGCATTGACTATGTTGGCATTTTGAGTTTATTTATTTTCTCCTAAGATGGCTACATGCAGAGCTTTGCCCATCATTAGCCATTAGGAAAAAGAATAACTGATTTGATTTTATTTTAGTGTGTGTGTGTGTGTGTGTGTGTGTGTGTGTATGCTCACAGAGAACAGATGACAACTTGGGGGTGCTGTTCTCAAGGTCTGTCACTGAAACAAAACTGGCTAGCTAGGCTGACTGACCAGTGAGGTGCACAGGTCCACCCTTCTCTGCCTCCCAGAGCTGAGATTACAAGTGCATACCACCACACATGAAAACATAGTTTAGAGATGAATTCTGGGAATCTAATTCAAGTCCTTCCAAGCACTTTACTGAGTTGACTGCCTACCCAGAGCCAAATCCAATATTGTTTCTATTGGGTTCTACTAATATATTCCAGGAGCCATGTCTAGTGACTCTGTGATGCTGGATGGGGGTGGGGTGGGGAACAGTCAGGCAGCCACCGGTTTGATCACAGACTATGTGAGTTGTGTGATCTTGGGCAGGTGACTACAACTCTCAAGAACCATTTTCTCATGTGACAACAGTGACAACTTGAGCGACTTCTTAGGGCAATTGGATTAAACACCAAGACACACTTTGAGGGCCTAGCCCAGTACCACACATCCCAGGGGCCCAGCACATGTACAACCTCCCCACACCCCCTCTGTGTGCTCCTTCCCACTCAGGACCTAGGAGAGTGCTTAACCCAGAGCGGGCTTGCAGTACAAGTTAGCAGAAAATGAAGAACCTCATGCCTTGTAAATGGCCAGCTTCTCTATGTCTGTCCCCTTCACTTCAAGGGATTTATTTTGGGAAAAAATTGAGTTTAGGTGTCTCTTCTTAAACTGATTTTGAACAAGTGGCTTCTTGGAACAGAGAGTCCTCTGGAAGCCAGGTGGAGGGGAGCACAGCTAATGTGCTTGAGCCCTGGCCCTGGGGACAGAGTCCCGCACACAGTACCTTGACACACTGGATGCTAGCCCGGCTCATGCTGTTGCTCCTGTCAATGAGGAAGATGAACTCCCCATGGGTCTTCCTCAGGTTGGGCTGCACAGACTGGAGGTCAGGACAGAAGTTGAGCATGATGACGGAATGGTGGGGAATGTCTTTGTGGAGACGCTTCCGAATGACTTCTGTCTGGAGGAGAAGGGAACACTCTCAGATTTGGTGGGGGTGTAGCTGTTTCCTCCTAACTAAAACATGTTCTCTCACAGGAGGGAGGCTCCTTAAGTCTCAGGAAGGAAATTAAACTTACAAGGCTTGGGAAATCAACACAAGTCGCAAGTCTCAGGGGGCTTCTGAAACCTACAGGACTCACAAGCACTTGCCCGGGATTCTAGAGGCAGCACTAACTGCTGGGAAGAGGAGACTCTTCAATGTGCCCAAGTTATCTAGGGAGCTCCAGAGATGCAGCTTCCTTGAATCATTGCTCATGCTGGGTTTGGTTTACCGTTGCAGCTGCCTTTGAGTCAACCATGCCCCTGTGAGTGACCCGTATTCACTGGTTCACTAATTCACACTTGGGATGGAATCACTTCTTTAGCCCATTGTTGGTGGCCTATCTTGGGTGCACAGACACTCGTTCACATTACTCCAGAAAAAGTCACATAACACTTGAGCAATAGAGGAATCCTGGGGACTCATGCTAGCCAACAATCCCCGCCCCCCAGCCCCATTCACTCACGGAGTATGTGCTAGATCAAACTTATACTCCATGCCCAAAGCTTCCAGGCTGGCTGTTCCTGACTGCTGTGCTTGCTAGATTACAGGCAGCGGCATAGGCACATCTTTGCATGTTCTGAGTTTGAACTCCAGCCCTGACACCATCCAATCATGTGGTTATCAGGTAAGTCCCACTTCTGGGTGTCTCCTCATATGTACAGTGGGATGCAAACATTGACCTCTTACAGTGGTGCTGAGGATGAGTAACATTAGCACATAAACGGAGGAACTCCTTCCTGACTAACTGTTAAGTCCTTTTCTGGCTCACCTTGGTCAAGAGATTGGTTCCCTCTGCTTACTGACCCCTCCTACCGGTAAATTGTTTCTTCTCCTTCACAGTTTTCATGTTTGGAAAACCCTCCCTACCCTTCCACGTGAATATTCTAGCTTAGTTTCCTCATCCATGAAACGAGCATGTGTGCATGCCCCGCGGAATTGTCACGTGGACAGGATGCTATGCCTGTGACGATGGCTTCCTGGCAGAGTCAATGCCATTATTGTTGCTGTGGCTGCCCTCGCCTGCCCTGGGGATTCAGGTGCCTCTCAAACTGAACTCAGCCTTTGCTCCACCCTCTGCCTCCACTCTAGCCACTAAGCTGCACCTTGGTCCCTTTTGTCTCCAGGGATTCCCATGATTCCCATAGTGTTCAGTCAGATGGATCAGCGATGATCAGGAGGGACAGTGGCTTCAGTGCTTCTATTTTCTATTCTCTCTCTCTCTCTGTCTCTCTCTCTGTGTGTGCGTGTGCGTGCGTGTGTGTGTGTGTGTGTGTGTGTGTGTGTGTGTGTGTGCGCGCGCGCGCGCGCGCGTGCACTTGCATGTGGAGGCCAGACATCAGCTTTGAGTGTCTTTCTCAATTGCCCTCCACCTTAGCTTTTGAGACAGGATCTCTCACTGAACTTGGATATCACCCATTCAGGTAGACTGACTCGTCAGGAAACCACAGGGATCTGTGGCGATATCTAACAAACAAGCTTGCCTGAAGATCAGAGGGCGGAGATAGCCACGAGCTAATCATAGAGGTCTGGAGGTCTGTACAGACGGACAGGAAGTGAGATGGTGGGTGGAGAGAGGAGTATAGGCGGGATGAGACAGGAGCTCGCTCTCTTCAGTCTCTTCATAGAGCTCTAGTGGCTGGCAGCTCTGCTTCTCTGATTTTTCACCTTTCATCCCCTAACATCTGACTCCAGGATTTTATTATTAAGACCTACCAGAACTCATGTTACAGGGATTCCCCGTCTTTGCCTCCCCAGCGCTGGGATCACAGGCCCGTGACCGCTGTGTGCCTGGCTTGTACGTGGGTGCTGCTGAGGAAACTCAGGCTTCATGCTTACACGGCAGGCACTTTATTGCCGACCTTCTGCTAGCTCACTTTAGTCTCTCGTTTGTTTTTCCACTGATGCACTGTTAGTATTGTTGCTGTTGTGCGCATGTGCATACAAGACTGCGCATGTGCAGGTCAGAGGATAACCTGCAGAAATCAGTTTTCTCCTTCCACCATGTTGGTTCTGTGGACTCAGCTTAGCTTTTCAGGCAAGTGCCCTTGTCCTCTGTCCTTTTATTTTTATTCCGGCTTAGGGCCTGCCCCAGGCTACAAGCCACTGCAGAACCCTTCTCCCGACTCTCCACTCACCTGATTCTGAATTGGATCTATTTCCTCCATCCCTACTACCTCCACCCCAGGATGTCTGCATCCACACATCTCTCCCTTTGTGTTTCTCATTGTCCCCTTGTCCCTTCTCCATCTTAACAGTGAGCCTCAGCACTCATCCTGTGCTGACACCAGAGATGGAACCGTTGTCCCCAGTGTTCCCCTCTTCCAGATCCTCCCCCCCTACCCCCGCCATGCCCCAGCCCATTCTTCAGCACGGGCTCACACTCCTTACCTAACAGACACCTGAACTTGGCCTGTTTGCGGTCTCTGTAGCATTGTCTACGTTTGGTGCTGGCTTTTGCTTGCCTCCACAGACACCTCTTGCTGGCTCATTTGTCTTCCCTGTGGTCCATGTGCACACAGCAGCCAGCACCAGCTTCCGCCCTACTCTAAGGCGTAGAGTCTACATTGTGCATCATCAAGCCCCAGGTGTCCATCCGCTACTCAGCTCTGAATGTTTCAGCCACATCCCGCTATTGGGCTTGCAGTTCCGGTGTCTTTGCTCTCTGCCTGCTCCTCTCCCCATGGGCCTTCTGCCGCCAGATCTTGTTCTCAGACAGGAACTTTGACTCCTGGCTAAAGAGCTCCTGCCAACCGTGTTATCCTGTCCTACTTCTCCCATGGTCTCAACTCTTCTCCCAGCCAATCTTGCTCACCTGCTGGTCTTCCTGTGCTAGGATATAAGCTTCTTGAGGAAAGGAATGTGACCTTTCCAGGGCGGTCTCTCTAGTACCAAGGAAGAGCCTGGCATCAGCTGGGCATTTAGTGTTTGCTGAATGAATAAAGAGACACTGTATCTTTCTCTCTTCAACTCCTGCCCCTCTCTTTGTGGGCATTGTCTGCTGCTGACCTCTCTGTGCACTTTTGGTTAGTTTGTTTCAGTCTCTGTCTCTCTTTGCAAAAGCCCTCTGTCTCCTCCATTCTGTGTCCTGCCCTTTCTTTGCTAAGGTTAGCTATTGACAGTTCATCACCTATCCTTCCTAGGCGATGCTCCACTTCTGAATGTCCCTGCTTTATTCCCACCTGTGGGTCCCACTGTCCCTTCGATGCAGAGCCCCCTTTGCCAAAAGGCCACTACCCAGCTTGGCTTATTGGATGACAGAGCCCAAAGCAGAAACAGCCACTTCTGCCAGCCACAGGAGCTCCTTCCAGCAACCCGATTCTGCCTTTCAGAGGGACGAATGGGTGCTTGGCTCCAGATTCCCTAATGGCTCCTCAAGTTGCCATTATCCAATTACAATAAACTCATCACTTCCGAGCAGCTTCCTCTTAGTCGCTGTCATTCTCAGAACTCCGAGGGAATACAGGCTATTTGCATAACTAACCCAAGGTAGCAAATTAATTCTCATTTGCCACAGTGGGCCCAGAGCTAATTGATTTAAGGTCTGGCAGGCAGGACAGCCATCACTAAGTCTTGGGCGGGGGGAGGTGTTACCCTCTCCACACCATCATTTGCTCTGGGAGCTTGGCGGCACCTCTGGCAAGCCATGCTTGCCATCATCTTTGAGACCTAGCTCAACTTCCGTTTCCAGCAAATTCATCTGCAAGGCAGTGTCCCCACCTTTCTCTGTGATCATAATGATGACGCTAAGCTCCCTACACCTCCTCCAGCCCCCTCCCCTCCCCCCCCCCCCGCCCCAGCAGGAGTTTCCACTGGTGTCTCCCACAGTGGCACAAGCACTTTTCCTATCTATTCTGTACCAGCAAGGGCAGAGAGAAGGTGAGGGACAGTTAAGTGCCGTTGCACTGCACCCTGCTCCAGGAGTGTTGCCAGACACCCCCAGATCTAACTCTAGAGATAATATTGGGCACCAGACCTCAGACTGCTTATCAGCAAAGGAGCCGATAGAAAGAGACTTGTCATCACGCTGAAACTTGACATCCAGGGTACATGCCACATGGAGGACCATGTGTGGAGGGGAGAACCTCAATGCGTGGCTGTTGCTTCTGCCCCCTCTCTCCTGCCCCCTGCAGTCAGTGCCTCTTTACCCTTCAGTGTCAGGGTTGGGGAAGGGCAGAGGGAAAGGACCTTTCACTTGCTCTCCTGGCCCTTCTTTCAACCATTCTGTAGCAGATAGTGAGGACTCCAGACAGACGAAGAACAAGGAGCCAGTTAGCAGATGGAGGTCCTGGAGGTGAAGAGGTAGCTGTAGGGCCAGAGTGGCTTGGAGCTATAAGACCAAGATGGTGTCTGCAGCTAACTGCAAGTCTTGCCAAGCTTAGGAATGCTGGGAGACACTAGAAGAAGCTGACCTGGCAGGGGGACTGGATAGGGTCATCAGGAAGTTCGTTCCTGCCTTCCCTGTAGCATCTGGGACCCCAGAAGGAAACACCTCTTACTTCTTGTCCAGATCCCGCCAGCAGCCTAGGATGTAACCTCAGGGGAGTCATGCCCTCCACATCAGGCTCAGAGGTCTCAATGGTTCAGAGAGACCTAGTCCCCAGTGCCACCCAGCTCTGCCACCAGTGGCTCACCTTCTGCTCAGCACTGCTACTCTTCTTTGTCCCCCTAATGAAATCTGCTTTTCCCTTCAAGTGCTGGTCAAACTCCCCCAGGGTCATGTCGCCTTTCTCCACCAGGACGTGTGGCATGTGGGGCTCTGCACAGACGAGATCGACACTCAGCATTTGCCTGGGTGTGAGGGCACAGTGGGGCTGTAGTCTAGGGGTGATTCTTCATGCGGGGTGGGTGGGGGTTCTTAATTGGAGAAGAGGGTGGCATCTCTGGATGCGTGAAGCAGTAGGGGCCAGGGGAAGACTCCTTAGTGGAGGAAGCCTCCATGGCCCTCAGTTTACCCTCATGTAAAATGGACTGGGATTGGGCCAAATGCCTTGGCCTCTTTTCATGGACAGACATATTGTGAGTTTTAAAGGAAGCAAGGAATGACTCCAAGAGTTTATAAAGTGTCATAGCAAGAACTTCTGCTCAGCCAACATAGGGGTTCAGGCCCTCCCAGGCAGATGATAATGGGGGTTGGGAATTTGCTGGAAAGAGACAGATTTCCTGGGGACCAGTATCTGGTCTCTTCAGCCACCTCCCCCACACCCCAATTCTTCCACAAGGGCAGCAGAGCCCCTCATGGGTACCATACCACTGGGATGGAGAAGGATCTCCACTGGCCGGTCAAAGGTGTGTTTGTTGGCCAAGGTGATGATGATGCTCTTGGCTGAGTGTGCAGACGGGGCAGCATCTGCACGGATTTCATGCGTGGGACTCTCCACCCCTGAGTAGCACAGAAAGACAGGGCAGAAGAAGGACAGATTTAGGAGTGCAAGAGAGAAAGGAGCTCGGGGGTGGGGAGGACGTGAGACCTAGACAGATGATTGGCAGGCCGGCCCTAACATGGACTCCTGTCTTCATGTGTGGGTGTGGATGCCCTCCTCACTTCCCCACAGTGTAGACAGTGTCATAGATGGTTCCCAGTGGTCCTTCCTTTCCTGACCACAGGATCTAGGTCACTCCTGGCGTGCAGGGTGTACCCCAGTGCTGCTAAGAAAGAGCTCAAAGCTCCATGAATGGAGCTGTTTTTGTGGTGCTCTCTGAGTGGATCTCCACATTGCAGTAAACACTCACTGATAAGAAATCACGCCCTGTACCCTTAAAACCCAAGCTGGCCTGGAGGAGAGCCACCTAACCTCAGTTCTCAGCCCTGGTTGCATGTTGGAACTGCAAAATGGATTTTACAATGACCCATAACCAGAATGTACAACAGAATCTCTGGGCTGGTGGCTAGGCTGCAGGGGTTGAATGTTCTCCAGGAGGGAACCAGAGCTCAGCTTTCTAGCCATGACCTTCTGGAGAAGGTCGAACTAACCTTCCACTCTCCAAAAGGTCATTTCCCCTAGGGAAGTCACAGGGTAGGGGTGGGTTAACTTGAAAGTTGTCCTGGGGAGAGGTTTATCTTGGGACAGCTTGCCCATCCAGCTCTGAGTGGTTCAGTTTGACTCCTATATGGGTTGGGTGGTCTTTGTGAACTTTTGCCGCTCTCCATCTCTCTCGAGGCTTTGGGCCTGAAGCCCTATCTCCTCCAGTCCTCTTTGTCTTTCTGGGCCTGGGTAGCTCTCTCTCACCTGCGAGCAGACATGGCCCACGGATCTCCAGCTGAAAGTTGAATTCATATTCCATTGGGTTGGTCACCTCTGTATCCAGGAGAGTGGCCAGACACAGTCCATTCCAGGAGTCTGTGGTCTGGATGCCATAGCAGTGTGGGTCTTTTCTAGAAAGGTGTGTGGAGGAGGAGGAAGATGGAGGGGGGAGGTAGAAAAGGAGGGAGAGGAGGAAGAAGGGGAGGAAGAGGAAGAGGATGGGGAGGAGGAGGAAGAGGACGGGGAGGAGGAAGAAACCCAGACAGAGGCAAACCAGCATAAGAAGACCGAGTCTCAGCTCAGTCTCCTCCCATCCTGGACCACTATCATCTCATTCAGCCTGGCTCCAGGGAGGGCCTTAATACAGAGAGAAGCTATAACTACCACTGCGGAGTACCTGGGATGGGTCAAGATCCAGGCATGTGTTCCCAGTGCCTCAGCCCTCATCATTCTCACCACAAACCAGGAGGAGGATATCAGAACCCAATGTTTCCCACATGAGGATGTGAGGCCTGGCAAACAGGGGCAACTCGCCCATGGGTCTATGGTTAGGACTTGGCAGAGCTGGCATCCTAGCCTAGGTTGGCCTGGTTTTGGTATGAAATGACTTGTTGTGTCAACACTGCCTTGTGTCTATGATCTATCATGCATCTCAGTGACCCCCTTGATGATTTTCACTCATTCTGTTTCTAAGCTCAGTCCACGTGGCTGTCACTCAAAGCCACATAGGGCCATCCATTACCATGGGTACATTTCTTCTCTACATTCATGAGTATCACCACCAGCATTCATATCCTTGCTGTGTCTCCTTTGGCCTTGTAAAGAACATTTCTTTGGGTCCCCAGGAAAAGGGCACATGCTGATCATAGTCAAACGGATTTCCTGGTTTGTAGTCAAATTGCCATTTTCCTAGCAGGGAGCGGGAGCCCCTTCTTTCCCATGCCCTGGCAAACACTGTATCACCCGGCTTTCTAATTTTCCTTGTGTCTGATTTGGGCAGCCGGGAGGCTCCTGGGGGATTGATACAGCTATCTCAAGAGCGTAACTGTCAACTCTGCCAGGTGCAATGACAGGCTGGCTCACCGGGGGCCTCTGGTCTACTAAAGTCCAGAATATCCCAGTAAGATCCTGCCTTTCAAATCCACACTGCAGCCCCATGGGCAGTGCTGATAAAGTGACACATGGGCTGATGGTACCTGCCCAGGGCAGCTTTGCCACCTGCACCTGGAGTCTTCAAGATCTACATGATCTGTTCCACCACCCTGTGAGGTGGGCTCCTCCTTGTTCACTCTGCTATAGCAGTTTTCCAGTCCCGTAATAGCCAGTCAAACCTGCTGCAGCCTCGGGATCTTTGTCTACCCTCTTCCCCAGCGCTCCTCTAGAATGCATTCCTATAGCTTCCTGAGCAGTATAGAGCATTCATAGCAAGTGTAAGGGGCTGGGTTCCACCCCCAGCAGCTCAGGAGGAGGGGAGAATGGAGGAGGAAAGAGGAGGGAGGAGGAGAGGAGAAGTGGGAGGAGGAGAGGAAGAGGAGGAGGAAGATGACAGCTGTTGTTTAACCCTGGTCTTGTCTATGAGACATAGCCACACCACCCTGTCCTCTTTGCCCTCCCCCGCCACACACAGCACTTGAGACAGAGGTCTCAGAGCAGGTACCTCTTGGGCCATGGCACTCCCCTCCCTTCCCGCACTGCAGAAGAGCCCCCTACTGCCCACTGAAAGCACTAGTGGCTCTTTGCTGCATGGGGGAGATCCAGAGTCTGCAGGGCTAGCCTAGCCTGTCACCTGTTGCCTGTGCCAGCTCATCCCTAGGGCTCTGTCCTCACCGTTAGGCTGTGGGATGAGGCCTGGCATGGTCTCTGGATACCCAGGGTGGGACCCCTTCTTCATCTTCTTAGCCCAAAGAACTTCTCTCAAAGCACAGTTTTTACACAATTAGTTATGCATTCAAGCCACATGCACAAAGAGTCACATGACTGTTGCATGATAATAATGATCTCTTCCCTTCAAATTTTTGTTGTTGTTGTTTGGGGACAGGATCTCACTATGCAGTTCTGGAACTCACAATGTAAGCTAGGCTGGCCTTGAACTCATCTGCCTGCCCCTGCCTCCTACATGCTGGGATTGAAAGTGTATGCTCCCCTCCAAGTTTGTTTGTTTCTTTTTTGTTTGTTTGTTTGTTTTTTGAGCCAGAGTTTTTCTGTGTAACAGTTCTGGCTGTCCTGGAACTCACAGAGATCTGCCTGCCTCTGTCTCCCAAGTACTGGGATTAAAGGCGTGTGCCACCACTATAAGTTTCCAAACGGCATGAATCATGTTGTTTCATCCCTTCTCTATCCACATAGGGCTTACCACATAGTAGGTACTCAGGAAAATCCCTCTAAAGTGCACTGAAAAATAGCCCTGAAATTCTGAAGCCTTGCTTCTGCCAGTACCAGAATGGGTATTTCCGGCAGACTGTTCTGAAACTCTGGAAGTAAAAGGGCCCCAAAGCCTCCCCTGCCCCTCCCTGTCTCCTTCCTGCTGTCCCTGACTTGATTGTGGTCTGGGCTGGGGCTCCTTACCCTTGAGCCTGTTGGTTGGAGGAGCCAGAGCTGTGGGAGCAGAACTGAGGCACGGTCGGGGCACAGATAGCCGGCAGGATGACCCTCACAGCCCCACTGGGCAGCGTGGGGAGTTCCGAGGAGGTGCTGATGAAGATGGTGACATTCTCCATGGGAGCAATGGTCCCCAGGTTGACCACGAACAGAATCCGCTCCAGGTCCTCATCCAAGGCCACCTTTCCCGGTGCGCAGGAATGAGGGGTGATAGGAACCCCCTCTTGTGGAATGTTCCCTAAGTGCCAGGTTGGCGTCAGGGACAGTGCAGACCACCTTGTCTCTGACCCCCCCTCTAACCTTGCTCTGAGGTAGCCTTGAGCAGCCCTCTTTTGCTGATGGGGAAACTGAGGCCCACCATGAAGGGTTAGCTTGCCTAAGCTGCTCAGTAGATTATTAGCTCGTTGGATGGGTTCTGTGCCCTCATGGGTCTGAATGGAGGCTGCGGATTTCCATTAGAAGACTCAGAGCCACAGAGAGCACCCTCCAGAGGATCACATGGCCACCCCACAGACCCCACTCAGATACCAGCCGGAGCACTCCCGCTTCTGCTCACCGGCTTTGCTTTGATCTGAAAGGCTCAAAGTGCCACTGGACTAATCTTACCCATCCATCATCCCTGCCTTGTGAGAGCCTCCCTAGTCCCCAGTCAGCACTCCCTCCCCCTCTTCTAACGCCATCAGGACCTTTTCCAAGCACTGCCACTTTTGATGGCCCATCATGGTCATTCCTGGGAAGGTTCTAGCAATTTTCCTGGGTCATGAAAGATCACAAGACACACACACACACACACACACACACACACACAGAGCAGAAGATGCCGTCATGAATGTTGATTTAAAAGTCAGGGTACATCTAGATGCTCATGTTAACACCTTCGGTTTCATCTGACAGCCAATGGTCTGGTTTGCTTACATTATGTGCTACTTGGTATGGGGTCATCAACTAACATGCTGTGTGACCTTGAGTCTACCGCCATCTCTTTCTGAGCCTCAGCTTCCTCACCAGCAGGAATCACCAGCTATGCTTGCAGGAACTTTACTGTGGCATAAGTTCTTGGTATGCCCTGTTTAGCACGGAGTGGGTCTGATTACTTACTCCATTTTACAGGTGTGTGTGTGTGTGTGCGCGCGTGCGTGCATGCGTGCATGCGTGTGTGTGTGTGTGTGTGTGTGTGTGTGTTTGAGCACTCGTGTACTTCTGGACTAGGGTACACACACTCAGGAGTACATCAAGGCCAGAGGGGACACCGAGTGCCTCCCTCCATTTTGCTTTCAGCTCTTCCCCTGAGGCAGGACTCTTGAACTTGGAGCATGAGGATTTTCAGCTAAGCTGATTCATCAGCAAGCCCTGGGGAAAGCCACAGAGAAACCCTGTCTCGAAAAAAAACCACAAAAAAAAAAAGAAATTCCCATCTCTGTCTCTGTCCTGGTCCCCGTTCCCACCCAGGGCTGGGGTCATAAGTGCAGACAGCACACCTGGCTTTCTATTTGGATACTGGAGATATGAACTCAGGTCTTTATGCCTGTGCAAGTTCTCTTACTATCAAGCTATGGCCCCAGTCCTCAGACAAGTGTTGGTTTTGTTTGTTTGTTTGTTTATCTAAGCTCACATCACTCATGATAAACAGGATAGGAGCCAGACCCTGGTGTGACTCATTCCACACATCCTCTGAGCCAGAATGATCTGGACCCTGCCCTCTTTGGATCCTCATGGCACCTTGAATGTGAAAATAAGGACAATGGCCTGCTTTAGAGACAATGAAGCTGAGATCCACAGAAGTCCATGATGGGCTCAAAGTCATACAATTCCAGCTCAGGACCCTTCACCATGCCTCATGTTGCCTTACCATGCGCCTGAGGCTTTGGCTCAGCTGGGGACTTCTTACCTGTGACAGTTGCAGATCGGATATCCAAGTGGCTTCTGTCCAGCTTGGCTTTGTCTTTGATCTGTATGGTCACAACACGGTCAGCAATGACTGCCTCAAAACCAACCACTGTGGTGTACTCGTCCATCGGATACACAAAGAGACCTGGCGAAGTGTGGCCTAGTGACACAGGAGTTCAGCCCCATCCTACACGCCCAGCTCCCAGAAGGGGGTCAACCTTGGCTCTGCCAGGGTTGTATGTGGATCTGTGGACTGTACTCACTGCCCCTGAGGGGACACAGCAGACCTGGGCGGGGACCAGGCAGGTGAGGGTAACAGCAGGCGGTGTGAAAAGGTGTATCTGTGCCCAACTCCTGCCAGCTCTTAACTCTTGGATGTGTGAGCTTCTGGGGCCAGAAAGTCCAGTTTTCAAGGAAAATAAAAACTTGGGCCGTTGTGTAGGCTGTGTCTAGGCCTAAAAGGACATGTCTGGGTGGTGAATTTGGTCCATGATTACTGACTGGCTTGCCACTGTCGCTGTCAACGGGTGGGCCTATGGAAGAGCTAGAGAAGGGTTCAGACCCAGGCCTTTCTTGTTTCCTAACCCTGCTACATTGTACAGGACACACACCTCTAAGTCCAGTATCCCCATCTACAGCAAGCCTCATGGTACCATTTACTAAAGGATGCACCACACAGTAGGTGTCACACATTTTTATATCCTTATTTTTCCTGAGGTTCTAGGGATTGGACAAGCTAAGCAGGCGATCGGCCGCTGAGTTATAGTCCCACCCCTCTTGCTACTTTTTATTTTGTGACAGGGTCTCATGCCCAGGCTGGCTTTGAACTTGCTATACAGCCCAGCCAGAGCTTGTATTTTTGATCTTTTTGCATTAGCCTCTGGAGTAGCTGGGATTACCAGCTGGCATCAACATGCCTGGCTATCATTTTAGAGCCGAACTTCAATGTGAAGACTATGCTAATCACCTGGAGGTCTTGCTGGTCTTTAGGTTTGAATTCGTTTGGGCAGAGCCTGGGATTCTGCATTTCTGTTCCGCTTTTGAGTGATGCCGAGTTTCAATTCATCTCTTTAACATGGAAACAGCTCAGTGCTGGGACCATAGTGAGACCTCCACAAACCCTGGCTTCCTGTCCTCCAGAGCCTCAGTCTCCTTATCTATAAAATGGAACACTTGTCCCCCCTGAAAGAAGACAGCTGAGGGGCTGCCTAGAAGCTTTTCAGTTTTGTCCTCAGGGTTCCTAGGTAGCCCCTGTTTTCAGTCTCCAACTCAAGGCTCCCTCAGACAGAAGAACAAGGTCGTTTGTTCAGCCCAAATCCCCAAGAAGAGAGTTCCCATGTGGGTTTCTTTCAGGCAATCTTGGCCTCCAGGGCAGCACTGAAGCAGCGGCAGAGTTTGGGGACAGGGGCGGGGAGAATGGGTTAGCCATTAGGAGACCCCATTACCCTGAATAATAGTGGGATCCAGGTTGATGTGGTGGCGTATGCCTGCCATACCAGCACTTAGTAGGTGAGGAGGGAGGCTTGCTGAGGGTATGTGGCCAGCTAGGATTACATAGTGAGTACCAGGCTAGCCAGAGCTATACAGCAATGTCCTGTCAAAAACAAAAACCAAAAACAAATAAACAAACAAAAAGCCAAACTACCAACCAAACAAAACCCTACCCAACCAGTCAAATAAACAAGCAAACAAACAAACAAAAAAAAGGATTAGGGGAGATAATCCTGCCCACAGTTAATCCCTGGCCAACCTTTGCTAGTCTCTGCTTGGGGGAAAGAGAATGTGTGGCAGCCAGTCCCTGCCCTTTACCCAGACTACTTTCCAGTGATGAGTCATAGCTACACTTCCACCCACGCAGCTCTTCCCCAGGTATTGTTTCTTCATCAACACCTCCTCAAAGACCCCAGATCGTGACTCTCCTTGGCTTTCAGCTCCTTCACTTTCAGACCTGTGAGGCAGACCTGGAAATCCCACTTTATAGATGAGGGAGCAACACAGAAAGGTCACACACTTGGCCAGTGTCAGCCGGCTAGTGAACCACTGGACAAGGAAGAGCTCGATGTGGAGGAGGCGGTTCCAGGAAATCCACATGGGGTTACCTTGGAAGGGCTGAGCCTCCAGGTTGCCATAGGTAAGGGAGGCTGTGAGGCCCAGGGCATAGCCACTGACGTAGGAGGTGACATCAGATGCAGTGAGAGGCAGGGCTGCCCCTGTGAGGCAATTCAGCAAGCCAGGCATCCTGTTGGCTCCTCAGCTCAGGGCCTGCAGGAGACAAGGTAGTTTGGTACACTGAGGAGAGTCCATAACCCTCCAAGCCTAATCTCAATCGAATGCCCTCAAAATCGGAGCTTCGTGACCTTCATTTACCTTGGGGACTTTAGAGTTAGTGAACAACCTGAGAGAAGGGGACTTGATCACTGACATCACATTCCACACGTAGAAAAGATAAAACCCGATGGCACTCAGGGTCAGTGCTGAAGTGACTGACTACACAGTCTAGATTTACGTGTCCCCAGGGTCTGTGCATGGGTGGGAAGGAGGGGTTCACTTCTCACCCCATCCCTGTAAATCTCATCTCTGAGCATCACCTCTTTTTTTCTTTCTGAAAAATGAAGGCATTGATTGGGACAACTCTCCAACTCCCCTTCCTCTGGCTGCAGAAAACCAACTTGCTACAGTCAACACGGGTTGTTAAGGGGTCTAAGTCACTCAAGACACCAAAATCAGGACAGTGGTCATCCTTCAGGTGGGTCATTCTTGCCATCTCCCATACCCAACCCATGGCTAGGTCTGGGACATCTCTCAGGGAAAGCCCTTGACTCACTCTATCCATGGTCTTCATGCTCTATGACCAGCACACAGGTCCAAGGTACCACCTCTACCTGGACTTTATCTCTTACTGGCATTGAATATACTCTTCCTGGCTGAAGCCGGTGGCCAGCAGGCTTTTCCAGCTGAAGCCAGTGGCCAGCAGACCCATTCCAGCACACAAAGTGAGCAGGTCCCCATCATCCTTGCCATCCTCTTTTACCTACCAAATGGCCACCTAAGTCCATTGAACACAAACTTAAACCCTTTACACTAGTTCAGGGTCCATTCCTCACCCAAGCCCCACCGCCCCTTAGCAGTGCCATTCAAACACCCCCAAACCATGTGCTTGCCACACTGCCTGCAGTCTGGACCCACTCCCATCTTTTATCTAGGAACCTCCGTCTCCTCCTCTTGGTCCTCAAAATCCTCCTTCTCCTCCTCCTCCTCCTCGTCCTCCTCCTCCTCCTCCTTCTCCTGCTGCTGAATGGTAGAGGCCAGACCATCTGTGCCCAGCATCCTTCATCCCTCCCTCTTAGGGCATCTTTTCTCAGGTGTTATATTGTAATCAGTTCACCTGAACACTTTTAGTCCCATGAGGTTATTTTGTAACTGTTTTCTGTACATGGATGTGGGACCTAATTTTTTCTCTTTTGGCCTCCCAAGGCCAACTGAGTGAAAAGAATAACAAATTGCTTCATCCTTTTAACATCTAGACCTTCCAGGTATGGAGTCTTCAGGAACTGGATCTGAGGATCTGATGGGTCTCTGAGGACCTCCCACATAGCCAGATGCTGCTGACTGGGAGGGGGGAGCGAAGGGAGTGGGGTACATGTTGGCAGAGGGGGTTCTCTGGGTTTTCCTCTCTATGTCTGAGCCAGGCAAAGCTTCCATGACTGCTGCCCTTTTCCATCCCATGGCACCATTTAAGTGTTGATTACTCTGCCCCTCCTCAGGGAAGGTCGTGCTTCTGGTCTGGGTCCTATTGCTGCCCCCAGTGAGTTTGTCAGGTGCTCCCCCATGGCCCGGCCAGCGTCATCTTTTTAATTACCTTCTCCCTTGTGGCGGAGCCCAGACAACTTGGCCAGGCTTATCTCCTGACAGGCTGACTGATAACTGGAGGCAGAGCTGGGAGCACACTGCTGGTGGCCAGAGCAGAGGCTGGCCTCTTGCAGGAGGTAAACAAAGATGACGAACTTCATTTCCTGAGTGACCTATATCCCGTGCCATCGGCAGCCCTCCCTCCTCCTCCTCCTCCTCCTCCTCCTCCTCCTCCTCCTCCTCCTCCTCCGCTCCCAACTTCGCTCCTGTCCAGAATGCCGATGGGGGAAACAAAAAAGCAGCCCCAGATGTGCAATGAACTTGGATTTAAGTTTTGGCACATTCTGGAGTAGAGTGTGACAAGGGTTCTTGTCCAGCCCACTCCTCCCATTCTATGCCTCACACCCAGAAAGTGGGTGTGGATGGGAGATTGCTAACCAAGGCCAGACTGACTCTAAAGAGACCCACTTGATGCTGGCCCACAGTAAGGCCAATGATTGACAAATGGGACCTGTGAGATTTAAAAGCTTCTGCATGGCAAAGGAAATAATTATGTGGAGGGTTGATCAACAGAATGGGAGGAAAATCTCCATCCATCTGACAGAGAGGGTTCTCATATAGACTATACACAGAACTCAAAACTAAACAAGAAGTAAAATGAGTCCATTGACAAATGACTTAAGGAAATGAACAGTTCTCAAAAGGCAAAATACAGATAGCCAAAACCTCCCGAGCTGCCAGAGAAATGCAAGTCAAAACCATGCCGAGGCAGTCCTTCTCACCCATCAGAATGGCAGTCATATGGAAAATGTGGTGTGTGACATGGTGGGAAAATCTAAATTCATCAAGAATGAAGTCACGTCATTTGTTGCAGCCAGGCACAATAACATTACAGAAAGACAGGTGTCCTGTCTCCTTTTACTTGTGGTCCCCAGATTTCATGTTGATATGTGCAATCATATGTATGTATGAGTATATGCTCCCTCACGTATCGTGAAAGTGGAAAGCAAAATTGTCAAGGGAGGACAAAGGGGACCAACAGAAGTGAAGAGGTGAGAAAAATGAGGAACGGAAGTATGTAGGGTGCTCATACACAGGTCCGATAGCTTGAAAATAGCAGATATATTTTAAAAAGAAGCTCCCCGGAGAGGTAGATTTTAAATGCCAAGGGCCCTTATTCATGCACGTTTTCCAGCACTGATAAGTTTCTACTGTGTTCCAGATCCTCTACAGCCTCCAAGGAGACGGAGATAAGGCACGGCTTTATCTCAGAGAGTTTATAATCTTGTAGCAGATGAAACTGGGGAGTCAAGAAGACACAGCAAATGACTGAGAATTTATTAAGCAACGACAATGCGCCAAGCACATATATTGTCTCGTTTCCTCTGCAGAACTGATAAGGTGTTAAGCTTTTGCTGACAGGACACTGAAGCCTGGAGAGAGAAATGTTTGGTCCTAGGTGTGAGTTTGGTGGTGTCTGAAGGATGTACTGTACAATGGATGCCATGTCTGGCCTGATGCTCTTCCAGAAGGAACCTGGGGTCATTGGAGAGCAGTTATGTTGGATGTCCTTTTTTTCCCACTCCTTTCTCAGCCTGGGTCTCCAATGGGCAGCAAGTTCTAGGCAATCCTGAGAGATAGGGACAAACCCACCCACACATCTCCAGGTCTGTGTGTGAGAGACCCTGGCTCGGTCTGAAGACGGGACCCAGTATGGGCTAGAGGTTCAGAACATCAAGGTGTGATAGTCAATATGTTGATTAGGTTAATTTTAAGTGGGGGAAGACCCACTCTTAAAAGTGGGCGGCGCCATTTCCCAAGAATGGGTCCTAAAACAGATGAAAAGGAGAAAGTTGACTTCACATGGGTACTCATGGCTTCTGTTGAGTTCAAGGCCAGCTGACCTTCACAGAAACTTCTAGGCCAGCTAGGGCTAATGACACCCTGTCTCAAAACAAACAAAAATTTTAAGAGAGCCTGAGAAAGGCAGAAAGCAGGGTTTTAGAGAAGGGATGTTGTGAGCTGTCATTTGTTTGCTGTTTCATGTTCCCTGAATGACAGATGGAATGAGGGGACTGGCACGGGCACGAGACCCGTTTTCTCTGGATCTCATGCTGGATGAGCTCCCTGTATGAATTCTGTGTGGTTTTTCTCGGATCTCATGTTGGATGAGCTCCCTGTATGAATTCTGTGTGGTTTTCTCTGGATCTCATGCTGGATGAGCTCCCTGTATGAATTCTGTGTGGCTTTCTAGGGCATCAAAAGTGGCCTCTGGTGGCTTAGAAACGTTGAATCTCAAATGACGGCCTTCTGCCTGGCCGGGACATTGTTTGTATTTATGCCTGCCTCAATAAATATTTATAAAGTAAAAATGAATGAGTGACTATCAGCTGCTGCAAGGACATTGGGGGACACTTGGTGCTGGGTTTCTGTGGGGGAGCAGGGCAGGTGCGACTAGAGACGCAAGTGCAAGGGACAGATGGTAAGGCTGCGCATCTCAAATCTGACCCGTTCTTGTCACTGCCACAGCTGGCCGCCCCATGGCTCCGTACAGTCTGTTCTCAGTGGAGCAGTCAGAACAATGCTTTGAAGGCAAGGACCCAGTCATGCGACTGCCATGGTTCAAATCCCCTGATGTGTTCCATGCCTCTTAAGGCCCCACCAGCTGGTTTTCCTCGTGACCCACCCCTCCCCCACTGGTTTCCTCTCTCCAGCTCTTCTACCTCAGGCCCTTTGCACTAGCTGTCCCCACCCACACCTAGAAACAGTCGTCTCTAGGTGCCTACATGGCTTGCTCACCTTTCGGGCCTTCGCTTAGGCAGGCACATATCAGAGAACCTCCCTTTTAATGCTTTCTTTAACCTTGTAACCCTTCCCTCCACCTTTCCCCCAGGACTCACTTGGCTTCCTCTTTGTGCTTTCTGTGGCTTTGTCACCCGCACATTACAGATAACTGTTTTTGTTTTTTTTTTTTTGGCTATCCTTTAGCATCTGTTGGCCCTCCACAGGGCAGGGCCAAAGACTGGTTTTCCCATTGCCAAATCCCAAACCCCTTGAACCAGCCTCCCACCGATAAGGCAGTGAGGAAATATCCATGTTGAATTCATTCACAATCATAATCCCAAACTGGCCCTTGGTCCTCCCGAGGGAGAGAAGTGGCTACTGGATTCCTCAGTGTCAGAGGAACCCTTGAGGCCGAGGACATGACGTTCCGTTCCTGTGTGTGTCATGGAGTCCCTAAGCCTCCCTTTCCTCCTGCAGCAAGGCCCCACTCTTTGGTAACAGCCCGTCATTTCATAGAGAGGATGCTTGGTCATTCTAGGACCAGCTCCTGGCCATGGTCAGAACCACAGAGTCTCCCATAGTGCCACTGCAGCCGCCACTCCTTGCAGCCCATTCAGCTCCTGAACTCC